ACACAGAATCAAAACTAGAACATAGGAGTGGAACTAAATGGTAAGTGGATAAGGTATTACTATATGTAATATTTTATATCATGCACCTCTTGTTTTTTCTGTGCAATGCCAAGATCTGAACTACTGTATATACTTGTGTACTGTGTGTACTTTGAAGACAGGCTTTTTAAAGATTTATACGAGAGTATATAAAGAATATATAAAGCATGTTTGAATTACTCCTTTACTGTAAAGTTATTCATACTCGTGATTTTTTTGACTGGTTGCTGCCTGGGGGGTCCTCTGTTGGGAGGTGTTAGCTGGCCCTGATTGATTTTTGTCTGGAATTCCAATTTTTTTTGAGTGTTGCTCTTTATTTACAGTCCTGATTGTAGAGTTATTTTTAATACTGATAACTCTAAAAACTCTAAAATCAGGACAGTAAATAAAGAACAACACTAAAAAATCAGGGGAATTCAGACAAGAATCAATCAGGGTCAGCAACCAGTCAGGCTTTGAAGTTACAAGACCATCAAATTCTAAACAGGGTGGCCAATTACAAAACTCACACTTATCTCAAACAGACAAGAGTTCTTTCTCCCACCCTGGACATTCCACTGATACATAAATCTCACTTGCCTAGTTTCCAACAGACCCCACAACCTCTGAGAATGCTTGCCATAGATGTGAATGAAAAGTCAGGAGAGAATACTTCTGGAACATGACCATACAGCCCAGAAAATTTACAGTAACCCAGTGATTCTGGTCATGAAAGCCCTAGTCTAGATCAAACATCACTAGCCATGACCTCTTCTTGCCTCTCCCAAAGCTTAGCCCCTGGAAAGATATCCAGCTGAGCCAAACTTCCTGTTACAGAAGAAAAACAGGGATTTATTACCTTTTTTGTAAGTGAATAGCTAAGCAAGAAACGCAGAGATGGCAACCGGGTCATAGGCTGAGATCTCAGGCATGGGATGTTTTCCCATGGGAGCTTCTGCAAGTGCTGGAAAGAAGGATAAGCAGTGAACTGTTAGTGTGATTGGGGTGTTGTGTTATTAGCTGAGTGTCACATTTATTCAGCAGTCCTGAATTAAACTAAACACTGAAAAATACAGAGTAACACAGAAGAGTGAATCAGGGTTGGGATAATTACACAGCATCAGACTTGACTATCAAAATCCTCCAGCTCTTGAAAATGAAGCAATCCTCAATTTCTGGCATTTAATGAACTACAAACCCAATCAAAGAAAAGAAAAATCACAAACATAAGCAAGGAACTTGGCAGGTTTTTCTCTCATAAACTGACAACCAGAGGGACTTTGCCCACGGGCTGAGAAGAGCAGTAAACAAATATAGTAAATAAATAAATAATAAATAACTTCCCAGATGTCAAGTAGTCACTGGTTACACAATCTGGAGGATCCAGAGAACAGTATTCCAAACAACTAATTTTCTAAGCTCTAAAATAGAAAAGATAGATTGCACCCACTTTATCCAGCACAAGGATGACATGGCCATTTGATGCCAAACCAGTATGGTCTCTCAGTTTGTCCACTGCTTCCTGTATAAGGTTTTGTGCTCTCTCAGGTTGAACTGGGCTGAACCCCTGTGCCAAGCTCCACACATCTTGCGGGGTCAAGAGATGTGATCCATTCAGCATTGCCTGTTGGAGGACAACAAAAGTTTGATGTGTGCCATTTCAGTCATGCCATCTCCACATTGTGCTGTATCTTACAATGATAGTATGAAAAAGAACAAAAAGAACAAATTGACAGAAAACATATAGGAAAATTGGGTTTGGGAACATATTCTGTGAATGAAAATGGAAAGCTCTAAAAGTTATGGGGGGGGGGTGAGATAGAAGACAGAAACTAACTAAAAATCATGGACTGCAGGGAGAAAGACAAAGAAGTATAGGGAAATTCCCATCAATTAGAAAAAGTTGCTTAATTTCATGTTCTGCTTCTGGGAAGTAGGTAGACGCTCTCTATGTGGGGCTGCCTTTGAAAATAGTTCAGAAGCTGCAATTAGTGCAAAGACTGGTAACTAGATTACTAACTGGAGTGCCGTATCGTGAGAGAACGTCTCCCATGCTGCGACAGCTTCACTGGTTGCTGCTCCACTTCTGGGCTAAATACGAAGTGCTGGTCGTTATCTATAAAGCCCTAAACAGTTCAGGGCCAGGCTATTTGTCAAATCGCATCTCCCTGGATAGTCCATCACATGCACTGTGATATACAGAGGAGACCCTCCTCTCAGTCCCAGCACCGTCACAAACTCAGTTAATGGGAACGAGAGGGGGGTCTTCTCTGTGATCGCTCCCCATCTCTGGAATTCCCTCCCTAAAGAAATAGAAACAGCCCTCACCCTCCTCTCCTTTAAGACACTTATAAAAGCACACCTATGCACCTTAGCGTATGGAGAGGAGGAAAATTAGGAGTGCTAGCTAATCTACCTTTATTAGATGCTTGTTATGATACATCTTAAATGAAACACCATTGTCAGCCATTTTGAATGTAATAATTTGTTTTAAGCGTGTACATCGTAACATTTATGTATGTTTTAGTTTTTATGTCTTAATGGATGTTTTTGTTTTTATTTTGAATCTTAAATCTTTTGTTGTAAGTTTTCTGTTGTTATGATCCATTATTTTGTATTATTTGGATGTTTCTGTACCTATTTTGAGGCACTTAATGTTTGCCTTTTTATATGTAAACTGCCCTGGGTCCTTCTGGGGAAATATTACATTTATTATTATTATTATTATTATTATTATTATTATTATTATTATTATTGATATCTGAAACAAAAGGCAGGGTTTCTTATCTGATTGAGAAATTCACCCACTGCTAGCTCAATTGTTTTTTTTAACCCTCCTCACCTTGAGCAATGCCAGTTCCACCTTTTCACAACCACATTCCTTGAGACACATTTGCAAGCGGGCAGCTTCCTCAACCAAGCTGGGGTCCTCACAGGTAGGTAACAGGGCACCCTTCCAGCAGCCCAGGATGTGTGTTTCCAGGGACTCTGTCAAAGCCTGTGGAATGAAAGAAGAGTCCCGCAAAAAGTGATCACAAGATGTATAAAATAATAGAGAATTGGTTAAACAGGGTATGGGTGATAGTTCTATCAGAAAAGTTAACCTATACATTAAGATTAGGATTAAAGAGAATTGAAAGAACATCTATTTGATAAAACTTGGAAACTATTTATTAGCTTAATGTGTAAAAACAATGGCAAATTTAAACCACCAAATGCCCAACAAGGATTGTGGTTGAGCAGTTAAACACATTGCAATAATTATTTGTAATGGATAACATTAGAATGTAGAAAATTAACAGTGTTGTATGTTTATAACCCAATGTAAGAGTTGGGGTGCAGATCTGGAAATAGAACTTGTAATAAAAAATAAAACATCCCTGTAGTTACATAAATATAAAAAGGAAGAAATATATACAGAAAAAGATGTACAAGAATTAAATCAATTGGAAGATCCGATTCCCAACAAATGTTTATAAACACTTCCTTTCAGTCACAGTGCAAGCCAAAATTCAAGAACTGCAGTGACTCTCTATGGACAAAAAGATGCTAAAACAGTGAGATCCACAGCTTTGGTCTTCCAAGTGTTTTTGACTTTTGCTCCCACAATTCCTGAGCACTGGACAAGCTGACCAGGGCTTCTGGGAGTTGGAGTCACAAACACTTGGAGGACCAAAAGTTGGACATTACTATGCTAGAATATCTTCTGGACCAGAGAAGCCTGTAAAACAGTGTTTCTCAGCCTGTGGGTCCCCAGATGTTTTGGCCTTCAACTCCCAGAAATCCTAACAGCTGGTAAATTGGCTGGAACTTCTGGAAGTTGTAGGCCAAAACACCTGGGGACCCACAGGTTGAGAACCATTGCTGTAAAACCACAGGAGCAGAAGTTTACTTCCTTCCTGAGATCAATCAGGTGAAAGTTGCCATGGTTTGCAATTGTGCAGATACTATGGTGACAGTAGAGTTTCACAAAATGGAGCCGAAGGCATATAGGCTGGTCCTGCTTCGACATTTCTGTCTGGCTAGTGAAGCTAGTCTTCTCATACAGAAGCAATGTTAAGTGCCAACACATCATTTCCTGGAAACGCTCATATCTCACCTTCATTCTTTTGTCCAACGTAATCCGGCCAGCCCACCAGTCCTCCTTCTCAGTGAAATTAGAAATCTCTTTCTGCTTCTGTAAGATAGCATCCAACTCACTGAGTGCTGCATTTAAAGACACCTAAGAAAAAAAAAAGGAAGCATTAGGGGAAGCAAAAAAAAACTCACAACACATTCAAAAAGAATGTAATTTTTTTTCCTTTACATTATGTTTACCTGGGTATGCGTGGTCTGTATCTGGATGGTCACTGGGTCAGCCTCCTTCTCCAACTTTGTCAGCAAGAGGATGTCCCCAATAGTATCAGGCTGGATACTCACTGAGGTCAATATGCATATTGTCACCCCTGTGATGGAAAGAAAATAGCAATGTTTAAAATATCACTACTTTTAACTGTGTTGCGGAATCATGTGATGGTTACATCATCCCTTAATTTGCCAAAGCTCAATAGGGGCATAATCTTTTTTTCCAGACCCAGTGATCAGGTATAATGACAGTTACACTTCAACATCCAGAATGCCACAAGTTCCCCAACCATACTCCAATTCTTGTTCCGCAGACTTTATCTGTCCCCTATGACTCTATGCTCAACAAGACACCACAAAGTCAAATACACAACTTGCATCAAGTAACACCACTTTTCAAAGGGTTGATGTCTAAAAAGGTAATGTCTTTCCTTGACTAGTGGTTTTCAAAAGGTTCACATTTGCCAAAAGGATATGAATCATTTTTTTCCAAAATGGTTAGGAATGCCATTTTCCCAAAAACCTCCACTCCTAAAATAAAGTTAATGACTTACCATGGGGGATTTGTTGCAGCTGTTCTTTCCAGTTCTCTGCCTCCAGGTTCAATGGATTGTGGCAGTTAAATCTGAAGAGGTTTTCTAGTTCTGAGAGATGCTGGAAGCGAGCACCCCCTTTTCCTTCTTGCAGGCTAAGTGCCTCCAGCTGCTTGACAGCACTGGCCAGAGATGCCTTTTTCATTTTGCTAAGGGTGAAACAAGAGGAAAAGGGTTTGAGACGTTGGACATCAATATAATAAAATTTGTGTCAAACAGGATTATCTCAGCAGCTTGTACTAGCATAGATTTTCAAGGGGTTAAATGTTTAATATACACTTCTGCAGGGCAGTCTAAGATATTTTGATGCCTGAGGTCAAAGACAAGATGACCCTCCAATCCTTAACTCACTGACTGCAGCAGATGTGGTACATCAATATAGACAATGATCTTTAAGGCAACTTTGAAACTACACACTGGATATGGGCTGCTGATCCTTATAGAACTGCTGACAAAATTAGCCTTTCCAGACCATGTCTCCATCTTCCCTTTTCCCTGACCTCAGTTCTTACTTGAGTTTCCTGTTGGTGATAGTGAGTATCTGATGGCGAAGAGTGACGGCAACCGACTCAGAAACCAAGTAAGCAGTACGCAGTGGATCCTTGTTCCCAATGCAGAGAGCCATGAGCTGACAGAGATGGCTGTAGAAGGTTCCCGGAGGGTAATGGCCAACTGAGTGGAAGGCGGTTTGCAGGGAGTCATAGACAGAGTCCATGGACAAGGAGTCTGTAATGGCTGCAAATACGACATAATCTTGTGTCACATAATTTGTCAAGATGGCAGGTTTCAGAAGACCTGCCTTTAAAGTTTTCTCCAAATAGTCGTGCCCAATCTTTAAGTAATAATTAAGCTTTCAGAAATAGGGAGATTGGGGAGAAGACCATGGCCCTTACCGGCAAGTGTGTCCAAAGAGGTTGCAAGAGCATCCAAGCTGAATGGATCTTCACAGGTTCTCTTGTCTGCCGCCTTAAAAATCTCCCGCAAATCACCAGCAATATCTCTCCGGAGAATCTCTTGGCCGTCTTCAGTGTTAAAGTGCCTTCTGCCCTCTGCAGAGAAAAAAATCACTTCAACCATCCATATAGTGCCTTTATAATCTGTGAACCAATGTCTGCCAATCCAGCAGCCATTATGAGGTGGTGAACAAACTTACTAAACTCACTAGAAAAATCTYRTAATATAATAATAATAATAAAACTTCATTTATACCAYGCTACCATCTCCCCAAGGGACTCGGTGCGGCTTACATGAGGCCGAGCCCACAATACATCAGAAATAAAAACAATAACAACAGTAATACAAACAATAAAATAAAAACTCATAACAAAAAATAAGCAATAAACATTTACAGTAACACAACGACRTTTAAAAGACCTATGGCTGGGCCAAATGTAATAATTAAAATTTTAAAAATAATGCTGAGCATGAACAGGTGAAATATGACTAGGATAGAATTTTCGGAGAGGGATGGGGCGTGCAGACAATCCTAGATCATTAATAAAGTGCATTTAAGGACATATTGCTGGGAGTTTCCTTATTCTGGGAAGGCACACTGGAACAATCACGTTTTCAGGCACCTCCTAGACTGCCAGAGTTGGGACATGCCTGATGTCCTTGGGGAGTGAGTTCCAGAGTCGAGGGGCCACCACCAAGAAAGCCCTCTCCCTCGTCCCCACCAGTCGCGCCTGCAATGGGGGTGGGAGCGTGACAAAGGATTCTATGACCCAGAACCTCCTTCCATGCTGTACTAGTATGGTCATTGTGGCTGGGATGATGAGAGATTGAAGTGCACTGGGTAAGACTATTCAGTTGACCCACCAGTAAGCATTAATGGATAAATTCATTCACATGCATGAAATCCATGGAAATGGATGCCACAATAAACCTGCAGGTGTTCTAAGACCCCTACTGGAACTGGTCACTGAAAAGACCCGGCATTAATTCCCAAACTTTAACACAGCAGGTTAACCACCAACTGCAGTAAATCTTGCCAAGCAAAAGGCTGACAGTTTAAAGCCCAGATTAGGGTGAGCTCCTGGACTTTAGCCCAGCTTCGGCCTACCTAACAGTTTGAAAGCAAAAGTGTGAGTAGATAAATGGGAAGGTATTTAAAGCACCCATAAGAAAATGCCAGAAAATGCTGACGATTCGATCAAGGAGGAAGTTTACGAACAAAGCTCTGTGGTAGAAAGATGGAGCTACAGTACACACACCCCCTTCCGTGGCTGGAACTGAGCACAAGCCTCCAAGATGCCAAGGATGGGAAAAGCCTATCTATACCTCTATGTACAATTGTCTGTCTTGTCAGTGTATAAAAGGCATTGAAAGTTTGTCATATATGTGTTCTATGATCCGCCCTGAGTGTCCTTTGGGATGAGAAGGGTGAAATATAAATACTGTAAATAAAAAATAAATAATGTATATACTCGAGTATAAGCTGACCTGAATATAAGCCGAGGCACCTAATTTTACCATAAAAAACTGGGAAAACATATTGACTCAAGTATAAGCCGAGGGTGGGAAATGCAGCAGCTACTGGTAAATTTCAAAATAAAAAGATACCAATAAAATTACATTAATTGAGGCATAAGTAGGTTAAATATTTTTGGATATATACATAAAACTGCAATTTAAGATAAGACTCTCTAACTCTGATTGAACCTTTATTCTAACCCTCTTCAATGTAAATGTGCTTATGTATCCAATAATAATAAAAATAATAAAATAATGCATGTATAATAATAATAATAATAATAATAGAGTGAAATAATGGAAATGTAATAACAGTAATAGAGTAAAATAACTGTAATAATAATAATAGAGTAAAATTTAAAATGTAATAAAAACAATAGAGTAAAATATGTTAATGCAATAGAGTAAAATAATACATGTAATGAAAATAATAACAGAGTAAAATAAATAACCTTAACTCAAGTATACACCGAGGAGGGCTTTTTCAGCCTAAAAAAGGGCTGAAAATTCAGCTTATACGAGTATATATCATAAGTAATTTCTCATCTTCGCAATTGCACCTATACACATGAAAGCAAACAGTCAACATCTTGCTCCAATAACCTGGTTCAGGAGTCTTATTGCTACCTCAGATTCATTATCCAACAAAGTACAAGCGTGACCAACATCACCAGTAATCCTGAGAGTCCATCTGCCTCTCTCCCCTGGAACACACTACAATAAAAACTTGGCAGAACGGGTTTCATAGCGGCCGAGAGGGACACAAATGACTTGAAGGACTGAAAGTTGCCACCTGACATTTCAAGGTTTCTCAAGTAGCCCAAGCTTACCTTTAATGACATCATCTTCATCAGAAGCACATAAGACTTCAAAGTTAGACTCAAGTCCTTCCTCAATGGTCCTCATTATCTCTTTTTCTTCTTCAGCAATTCTTTCTCTTTGCTCAGCCTGAGCTCTGCAAGCGCTCCCCTTATAAGAAGTTTTCTGGGTTACCTCAAGCTGTTTTCCACGCCTAGTGACTCTCTTGGCACACGATCTTCCAGGTTGGGATTTTGTCTTTTCCATCTGAGACTCATTGTCGGAAGAGCTCACATTGCTCCCTGTTATCTTGGCAGAAGTCACCTTAGATGGCTTTTGGCTAGAGGCCACTGTCCTCTGTCCTGGTCTGTGGATGTCAACCATTGGTTCTTTGGCAGTGGGGAACTGGGGCTCCTGCCTAGTTTGTGGAGTATCTTCAATATCACTGTCATCACTGAAAATGACCTAGGGAAGAAAAAAGTATTTACTTTATTATAGTATATTGTTATAAGTCCAGTGTGTGTGTTAAAGAAAGCCTTGCAGAAAAGCCTTGCAAAGTGTTGATGATTAACTGCAGCTGCAAAATTAGCTCAGCTAAGCAAGGCTGGGCCACGCCTCTTGAATGTAACAGTTTTGAGGCTTTTGCAAACGGTTAGCAGTTGGCTGTTTGACTTGCTGGAGAGCAGATGCAAGAAGCTTGTGCAATGGTGAAGTAACTATGTACTTTTGTTATGCTCTATAATTTATAACACCAAACATTTGTTCTGTATTACTTACAGAGATAATGTAAGTGTGCCAAGCTGTTTTATTTTCAACTCTGCAACTAAGAGTAAAACTCTACTGTTTTATTTCTCCTGACTGGTCTGTGTCTTTGGCATTGGGTTTTTGGTCATGTTGGACATTGCTACTGCGCAACAAATTGATTCAACGCAACATACTTCTCCTCTCCTCACCTATCCCAGGACACTTCCAGCAAAAATGGAAATCACTGCCAAAGGTTGTAGTGAAAGCGATTAACTTTAGGTAGATTTTAAAAGGAAGTTTGAGAAATTAATGAAAAGGATAAGACCACTAACTATAAAAGCTGTGGGCTACATCCAGGTTAAAAACAAAATCTACTTACAAGGAAATGAAAGAAGAGAATTTTGTGGAATGGTTGCAATCTTTCTATAGGTATCCATTTTTTCTCAGGAGACGAATTCCCTAGCCAACATGGCCACTTGCCATGCTAATTGGGAGTTCTGCCAATCTAGCAGTTTGAAAACATCAAAGGTGAGTAGATCAATAGGTACCACTCTGGTGGGAAGATAACAGTGCTCCATGCAGTCATGCTGGCTACATGACCTTGGAGGTGTCTATGGACAATGCTGGCTCATCGGCTTAGAAATGGAGATGAGCACCACCCCCCAGAGTTGGACATGGCTAGACTTAACATCAAGGGGAAACTTTTACCTTTACTTATGTCCTCATTAGGCAAGGTAATTTGGAAAGTCTCTATATAATAGGCTTGTGGAATTCAAACTCATTTACTTTTTTAAAATTGTTAAAACTAAAATGTATTGCCTTGTAGACAATTGTAAAAAAATAATGTTTAAAATACAAAACAGGCATTATCTGGATGACTTAAAATCTGAACCAAATGTATTTTTTTCTAAAGCAGACATATGCAATTTGTGGTCCTTCAAATGATGTTGTGCTATAGCTGTCATCATCTTTAATCCCTGGCCCTTATGGCCGTGGCTGATGGAAATTGCAGCTCAATAACAAATGTCCTTCACCCAAGCAGGCGATGCACAAAGAGTGCGCATCATTATCTGGCAGGCAGAGCAGCGTTTAAATACTTTGGTATTAGACATACTAAATAACTAGCATAAATAAATTAATAAAATAAACAATTTAAATGTTCTGAAGAAAGAAGATCCGAGCTTGCTGTCGTTTTTAGCGCGGATGAAGAGATCTGGAGGCGGTTAGCCAGCCGCGGGCTATTTATACTATCATGGGGAGTGTGCGCGGGGCCAACTGCCGATTCTTTTAAAAATCTAACTGAAGATTCCGGAGCAATGCTGCGCATGCGCAGAAGTACCAATTGTGCGTATTCACAGCACAACCACATAGGGAAACAACTAAATACATGGGACACATATCTTTTGTGTGGCATTTAAAAAGGATAGTGGCAATGCATAGGTTTGGCTAAAATGCAATTAAAACTTAAACTTTAATTTAAGAGCAAGATTTCTAAACCTGGGCACTAGCCATGCCAGATACAGATATCCCCATGTTCTTGCTAACTTTCCTGAACCAGTTGTCATGCTATCTATCCTCTTACCTTAATTCGAGATTTCATTCTTCTGGTGACTTTGGGAGCTTTTGGAAGTTCAGTCTTCAGCTTTGGAGAAGCATCCTCAAAAACTGCAAATGGAGCTTTGTGGGAGAGAATTGGCTTGGCAGTGGAAGACTGTCTTGTTTTGGAGACTGGAAGAGATCGCGGGGCTGGAGTACAGAGTTCTGCTGGGGGCCTAAGGCTAACTGGAGGAATCTCGGAGTCAGAGTCAGGCAGGGCAAACACATCATTAATTTTGACCGCGGGTTGTAACTTCATTCCTTGGACCCTCTTTGGCTTTGCTTTAGAGGCAGCGCGTACCTGTCTCTGTATTTTACTTTTGGGGGCCAACCTATGGAGTTCGTCTGATGCCTTCCTTGCTGCTGGCTTGCCTTCTTGGCTGCCCTGAAGAGATAATGGGAGTTTCCAGGACCATGTGCTAAAAACCGTGTTGCCTGCACAGCCATCTTGACCAGAGGCTAAGACAGAAATGGTAGCCACTGCTTTGATAAGCAGCAGCCTAGCCCTTTGATATTCAAGTCCAGGTTTCTGTGATTGCTTGGAAGACAGAAAGGTCAAGCCAGTCTCCAGAAACTTCGAAAGCTTTTTCTCTGGTCTGTTGGCATTCATGCTTTGTTTTGCAAGTGTCACATAAATACGAGCTATTAAATCATCAAGAAATCTGACTGAGGGCTGTCGTGGGGCCACAAACACCTTGTCTTTGCCTTCAGAAATGGCTGCCACCATGCTTGAAATGCGCAGAGATACCACAGCACACCGCTGCAGAGCAGCTTCCAGGAGATGCAATCCATCCATCCTGTTCCCATAGGCCAGTTCCCTCTCTGCAGAGGTGATCAGCCAACAGAGGCAGACAGCTGAGAGAACCACATCTGAACACAAAGAGCAGTGGCATCCTTCCGAATGGCTTAAAAAGCTGGGTAGCTTCTTCAGTTTTGGCTTCAGCACCGGCGAGGTGGTAAGCAAATTCTCCTTCTGTGCAGAGATGGTATCGACAAACTCCAGAGACACTTCCCTGAGGAAAGACCTCTCTTCCGGTGAAGACTCCAAGCTCTGGCGTCGAGGTTTCTTGTCCTGGCATCCTGCTTTCTTCGGCTTTATTTTTACATCAACTTTTTTTTCATTATTTTCAAAAACTGCAAGCAGGAGGGAAGAGCTAGTTTAATGTTTCTTCAATGGTCAAGGCCGCCCCCCCCCCCCCCGACAACACACACACACAGTTTTTGGCTCCCAAATGCCCTTTGGTAAAATGAATCACTTGCTATTTCTTTTTAAAAGCGTTTTGCCAAGCTTAAAGTGACCATGTGGATATGTATGTCTAAAAAACATCCCAAAATGTCACCGGACACCTTAGAGGGCAAGGTCTTCTAGGGTCGTAACGTGATCCCCTGGTCCTCCACAGTTGCCCATCTCTGCTAAAAAGCAACAATTCCATCTCTTTTCTTGGCTCATCCTTGCTCATGACCACTCCTCATATTTCAGAGGAAATATTGCCTTAGGGCCCTTCCAGACAGGCTCTTTATCCCAGGATCTGATCCCAGATTTTCTGTTTATCCCAGATTATCTGGCAGTGAGGACTCATATAATCCAATTTAAAGCATAAAACCTGGGATCAGGTTCTGGGATAAAGAGCCTGTCTGGAAGGGCCCTTAAACATTCAGGAACATGACACACCTCTATCACTTTCGATCTAGTTGCCCCAACTCAAGAGAGATCTATCCTTCAAAATGGAGACCAATCCACTACCCCCATACTTAAATTCAGTCATGGAGCAAAGGCACACTGCTTCCTTTTCTCACTACAACAAAAAAACAAAAACAAACCAATCTCCACCCTTTCCCTAGCCTCACCTGTGCTTGATTCAAGAAGGAAAAGGATCTGCTCGAGATCTGAGCGACACAATTCCAGGTCACTGCGCTGCAATTCCAGGCTGCTCTTCAAGATCAGAAAGCAAGCACACCTGAAGGGAAACATAAAACAAGGCATGCGGTTCAGCAGCCAGCAACAGACTCTGTTGCTCTGAGCCAAATGTGAGCATCTTTGTCTTCAGACCTAGAAAACTGGTACCTTTTAAGTGGAAGAGGATACTTGGTGGGAAATATAGGTTGCTTACCTGTAACCGTAGTTTCCCGAGTGGTCACCTGTGAATTCGCACATATGGGCAAGTCACGCTCTTTCAGCTTCAGAGTAAGGATAAGCCAAACTCCCTCTAAGAAAATCTTGTGAATAAAACTCAGTTTAGGGTCACTGCAGGATGGAAACAACTTGAAGACACACAAGTTCAAGTAACCCTGTTACTTGAACTTGTAGCATGGTGGTGGATAACTTACCATACCACAACCATGAAGCAAAAACAAGAAAGTAAATGCAGTAGTTTTTTTTAAAAAAGGCAGTCCAAAAATGCTGGTCAAAGAAAAATAAGAGAAAAATTCCCTAGCTGCTGCGAAAATGGTGGACAAAAGGAACTGAGGCAGTAGCCCCTCCCACTGGCTATATATACTTTAGGAGAAGAGTGGGCAGGGCTACTGCCTAAAAGTGTCTAAAAGATTTCTAGAAAATTCCGAAGCTGCCTGCGCATGCGGATGAAATACCATATGTGTAGATTTCACAGGGACCACAATGGAGAAACAACTTGAAGACACACAGCATCCCTGTTACTTGGACTTGTAGCATTCTAGAAGGGGAGCCTTTGTTTACTTTACTCATACAGTTACCATATCTCTAGTTATATATGCTTTCCATATAACGGAAAGGCCTGTATCTAGAATTTCTTTTTTGAAAAAGGAGAGAGTCCATAGGAGTTCACTTTGGCCTTAATCCAGTTGCTCACATTGAGAACAGACCCATTCTAATCAACGGAAATTATGAATGTGCTAACTTCCTATTGATTCATCAGTGTACTGTACTTGGACTAACAATGGAGTGTAGGCCTTTGATTTCAAGTTTGTGATTTTCCCATCCATCACTGTGCCTTTACAAAAAAGGGTTATATGTGAATATGATTATAAAGAGACAAAAAGACTATTCCGTACCATCGAATAGATTGCAGCTTCATTGAGATTTTAAGTGCTTCCAGGCAAAAGGCTTTTGCTTCACTTATGGTCTCAATCTCGCCAAGGAGAGACACCAAGCTCTCAGAGCAAACAAACATGTCAGCCAAGACTTGCCATTTCTGCACCAGATTGTCTCCTGAAAAAAAATTACACAAGTTAAGTAAATGTGGATCTGCTTAGCTGCATATTCAGGTTCAGCCTGCCTAAAGTTACTAGAGACGTGCTGAAGTCTGGAGGCATTTCCTCTTGGGATAAAAATAGCTATCACTTGTACTTCATTATCAACAGATGTAACTAATGCCCTCAAAAAGACAACAAGACATCTTATAAAAGTTAAAAATATATATTTTTTAAGAAAACTAAACAAACAAAAACATCTTTCTCCCCAAATGTGGAGCTTGTTTCTATAAGATATCAAATCCACCTGAAAGCTTTTTACAAGAATAAAATAATGTGTTGGAGATATGCGTTCTTTTGCTATAAAATATAATTTTCAAAGCACTGTACCAAAGTGATTTGATATAATTTTATATGCACATAATATTCTACTCCAGAGTAACTTTGAATGACTTATTTCTAAAATCTGGTGAAAAGAAACAAGGAAATGGATGGAAAATTCCAAGCCTGGACATGTTTGTATCTTTTAATTTTTTTAGAATTAAAAAAATAATCAAGAATGCAGACACAGCAATAGTTTCTATTAACTTCAAAGGAAAACCATCACCCCTTTTTTTTTTACCATGATCTACAAATTGATGTTCTGGACTATCTTTAGCAGAAGTTTCACAACTAATTAGAGAGAAATTCAATAGAATGCTGCGGTAGAGCCTGTGTGCATCACTCAAAGCCATTTCAGGAGTCTTCCATCCTGTAAAAAGGGAGAGAAAATTGACTGTATATTAGCCCCCTGTTGCTTCTCAATATTCCTAGGTTTGGGGATACATTGAAAGTCCTTTTGAAGGCAGAAGCAGGCTGTAAATATGCAAATGATTCCATAATATTTGGCAGATTTGTTTTCCTGTTTAAAGAAAAAGTCCTCAAGTCCCAATATTGTTGCCCTATAATTTATTTGGCAATTTATTTTTCGGCTAGCAGCTTCCACCATATTGGAAGACAGCAGCCAGAATTATCAAAGTTTGTTGGAAATAGCAACCTTCCAAGCCTTCACTATTTATTTGTTGATGTATGTATTTGCTAACCTGTATTGTATGTATACATTGATTTGCCAGTACGACTGTACCTCTTTGGTGTGGGAGGGGCTACAGACATGTGATTGTACTGAGCATGTTCAGACTCAAGACTCCATTTTGTTATTAGTATGCTTTAGCACTTCAATGTTAACAGTTCGCTTTAGACCTCAGTGGAGGTGGATACAGTGTGCTTTTGGACTTCAATGGAAGCAGATGTCTTTTGGACTTATTCAGGAACAGTTTATTATATGTTTGCTTTGAGAAGCATTTAGTATAATTATACAGTTTGGATTTTTATAAGATGTATCAGAGGCGGCCCTGGGTAATTTTCAAGGGTAAGCTAACAGTATTCCCCCCCAACCAATCACTGATATATATTTTCTGTTCATCGTGGGAGTTCTGTGTGCCATATTTGGTTCAATTCCATCATTGGTGGAGTTCAGAATGCTCTTTGATTTTAGATGAACTATACATCCCAGTAATTACAACTTGCATATGTCAAGGTCTATTTTCCCCCCAAAGGCGCCTCAAGAGTGCCCTTGGGCAAAATCAACTATACTGCAAATGCTTACTTTGCGTAATGGGTTGAGCCGCCCCTGTGTATACTTAAAGACTGTGGACTATTGATTAAGAATGATGCCCTGTGTTCTCAACAAGGAGAAACATCATCCTATCTATAACTGAACTTTGATAAATGTGCCTGTATGCTAAATTAATACAAGATGTTTATGAGTAAACAAGATACGTTAATTTTTAAAGATTCTGTTTTTGTCTCTGAGTACGTATTTTAAATTAAGAGGTGTCAAGAGAGAGTATATGTTTTGGGCAACTGCAATTTCAACTTCAAAGAAACATTTTCAAAACTCTGCTAAATATTTTTTTTTTTTTGTGCAGTGGCATGTCTTTGCCCCTGGCAGTTCAAAGACATGGTTTATCAGTTTAACAGCTGAGTTACCTGTGTGCCATTACATGAATGCTTGTGAACATCACTTTTTCAAAGGGTTGACTTCTAACAAGGTCATGCGTTTCCTTGACTAGTGGTTTCCAAAGGTGGTCTCCAGATGTTCATGGAGATTCACATTTGCCAAAAGGATATGACATCATTTTTCTTTTCAAAAGGGTTAGAAATACCATTTTTTCCAAAAAAGATCAGGTGAAATGACATAATCTGTCTTTGAATCTCAAATGGATTGCCTTGCCAATCCTGATAAAGTCATAACCACTGTTGAACACTTAGGGTCTTCAAACCCCTTTCATCCATAATCAATTTACTGGGTTATTGTAGGTTTTTTCGGGCTATATGGCCATGGTCTAGAGGCATTCTCTCCTGACGTTTCGCCTGCATCTATGGCAAGCATCCTCAGAGGAAGTGAGGTCTGTTGGAACTCGGAAAAAGGGTTTATATATCTGTGGAATGACCAGGGTGGGACAAAGGACTCTTGTCTGCTGCTGTTCTAATTTTAGAGTTTTTTAATACTGGTAGCCAGATTTTGTTCATTTTCATGGTTTCCTCCTTTCTGTTGAAATTGTCCACATGCTTGTGGATTTCAATGGCTTCTCTGTGTAGTCTGATATGGTGGTTGGAGTGATCCAACATTTCTGTGTTCTCAAATAATATGTTGTGTCCAGGTTGGTTCATCAGGTGCTCTGCTATGGCTGACTTCTCTGGTTGAAGTAGTCTGCAGTGCCTTTCATGTTCCTTGATTCGCGTTTGGCTACCAGTATTAAAAAACTCGAAAATTAGAACAGCACAAAAACAGAGAGGAAACAAACAAGGACATTTAAACACCTCTCAACAAAAGATTGCTCCAGGCACTGCCAGGCAATCAAATGCTAATCCCAAGTTGGTCAGTTGAAACATTCATACCTAGCTCCAGCAGACAAGAGTCCTTTGTCCCACCCTGGTCATTCCACAGATATATAAACCCTTTTCCCTAGTTCCAACAGACCTCACTACCTCTGAGAATGCTTGCCATAGATGCAGGTGAAACGTCAGGAGAGAATGCCTCTAGAACATGGCCATATAGCCTGAAAAAACCCACAACAACCCAGTGATTTTGGTCATGAAAGCCTTCGACAATACAATCAATTTATCTTATCAGATGTTTTAAAGTATCAGGTGAGTTGGATTAACAATGAAGAGGAGGTGGATAAGTTTTCCATTCCTACCTTGCACAAAGAGTTTCTGCCTCAGTGCCAGTGGGAGAATGGAAGGAGGCAGGCCAAGGTAAGCAGCTGTTAAGTGGAGAGCGTTGGCTCGGAGCAGGCACCAGACTTTAGAGGACCTCTGCAGAGCAAGGCTTTGCAAAACTTCTGTTAGAAGAAGAATACCTTCTTCAATCTTTCCATGAAAGAGAAACAAAATGAGGCAAAAGATCAATTGCCTTGAAAACTGCTTCCCAGACTAGCAAGTGCATTAGGCATGATTTTAAATAGCTCATGAGTAAGATTGTTTACTCTCAAACAGGCAGGGATTTCTGCAATTCAAAGCATAGGCATATCAAAAAGTAGGATATTCTAGTATAACCCAGGTATAGTGGAGACAATAAGAGCCCTGATTACTTGCAGCCACTTCAGTGATGTCAGTTTGACTACAGAAAAAAAAATAGTGGCTTGGGTATACACTGCCTCCTGGCACAAACCAGAGGTGTCAAACATGGCCCAAAATTCCTGCGCTGGTTAGGGCTTCTGGGAGCTGGAGGCCCAAACACCTGGAGGGACACAAGCTCGGCAGACCTGGTTTAGACCATTCAAGTTTGACACCCTGTTCCAGGTACGACTAAATTTACGATACATTATTGCATGGCAAACTGAACTGGGAAGGAGTGAGGTACACATCCCAATTGCAATTGTGCCCAGAAACAGTGTTTACCTAGGCCGGTATTTTTTCTATAGTCAAATGATGGGTCCGGGAGGAAGCTTTAGACTATTGGCTATCCTGAGGCAAATTACAAAATGTACAAAAAGGAACTGAGGGGAATAGCTGTTGGTGTTAAGCAAAATACCTTGTGGCTTGCTAAGCATAACTTGCTAGAGAGCACAGTTAACGTTTGTTTTGTCAGCAGGTAAGAATCATGATTGCTGTCTACATTCTGCAGGCAGGATTCAGCTTCTTTTAGAATGATCTAAAAGAGATAGAAAACGAAAAGCAAAGATGACAAAATTACTAAGAGCCCATTGGAGTTTTAATGAAAGATTTTAATAAAAGATTTCAATCAGGATTTGTCCCATAATTACCTATTTGTGATTATGTGTGGGGAAGAGCAAATCACAGACCATCTACTACTATGCAACCTGAGCCCTGCCTCATGCACAGTGGAGGACCTTCTCACAGCGACAGCAGCTTCTGGTCTCACAATTAAATGCTCCCTGTTTATTTTATCCATGGCTAAGGAAGAAATAGGTTGAATGGACCAGCCGATTGCCAGTTCACAGTGAGCCCTGATGTAGCAAGTAGCTTGGCTTATTATGTTCAAATGTTATCCAGAACACTTCAGCAGATCACTGGAAGAATGATTCACTGTTCTACAAATTTTCAGTTTTTCTCAGTTGTGGAAATAAAATGTGCCATTTCTTAATAAATTTAACATGCTGAATTCAAATATAATAATTAAATGTGTTAATTGGCTCTGGTTTTTATGCAACAGCTATTTCAATAGGTAATTCGTTAATATTATGATAATGCGCCTAACCTTACTGCATGTATATAAACCGTGAATATTTACTAAATTTTAGTTAAATTATATTGCCAATAGTTTATACATGAGAAATATTTATTTAATTAGTCTATTGTTTATGTTTGTGCAGCAAGAAACTATATTAGTAGGCCTAATGCAGTTGAAAAGTCTGAAAGTTTAAATGTCGCTTTAATCGTGACTTTAGTTTATATCCTGTTTGCTTCTCTTGACTTTTCTTTTGTATTCAAGGAAAGGATGGTCTCTTACAATGCTCCAGCAGTAGTCTGACAGCATTGATGGAGTCCATTGGCCTTGATATCTTTTTTCCATAGTGCTTTATTTACACACGTGCCAGGCATAACTACAGTAAAAAGAACAATGTAAAACGATGTTTAACAATACTGTCTCAGTCTTCAACTGACTGACCCTCACCGTTCAAAAGTCTGGCCTTATATAGGGCTTTCTGGCTTTTGCACACGGCACTAATACTGCGTCATCAAACTTTCTAGAGTATTCTAGAATCTTCCATAGTGTAAGTCGCAACATGCATTTTTTCAACCATACGTGATCACGTGATTGCTTATATCATAAAAACTAGAGCCAATATACATTTTTAAATGTCATTTTCGTTTTCAGCACCCCAAAATCATAAAAAAACAACTATTTTCAGGCCCGCAACTTTTTCTCCGTTGAACAGTGTTATGTTTGGCAATGACCCAAATTTGATTTTGAGTGGTGGTGCGGGGGCAGTTCTGCTATGCTTTGTAATTCCTTATTTATTTTTGCCACTTTCATTCTTGTTGCTCTTAAGAGAACTGTTAACAATATTGGGAACATAGTGGCAATGCCTTGACTGAGAGTACTGCATAGCCCGGGGGGGGGGGGATTGGATGCCCCTGGTGGTTCTTTCCAACACTGATTCGATAGAGATGGAAGGGAAGACCATACCTACACAATCAATTTATCTTGCAGAAACCTGCTCAAATCCTACATCTCCAAGACAAGTGTCAGCAGGAGCCTAAGACCTTAAGAAACCACACCGCCGAATCAGAACCCATGTTTTATATGAATAATGTCCCATGTTCAGTTCAGTTTAATTCAGGTCTAGTTATAGTTTAATATTAACACAGAAGAAAGACTTAAATCCATACAAAGATACACAGAGACAGGCACTCCTCTGTTAGCTACTGACAGTCAAGCTATGTGGAACTAGGGACTATAAGAGGTCTGGATACAAGCCACTAATTTTTTTTATATCCACCTCAGCATAACTCGGGCACTCCAGCTGCAAAAGTAACTTGGTGATTTGGCACAAGGCACTGGTCTTCGCCACAACGTCTTTAAGTGCACTGGACAGAGTTGCAATCAGGAAGTAGCTCTCCATGGCCTGTAATGGCTGCAGAACACAATGGAGAGAAAGCATTTAGACACATGAGTGGTGGGTTGCAAGGGAGCGAATGTAACTGCAAGACAGTACTGTTGGAATTGAACCTCACACTGCCCAATACTCAAGTCCTCAATGAGGAACAGTTTAGTTAGCATTAGAATAGTCTGAGGGTTTTCCTTCCCCCATGTCTCCTCTATGACAGTTGGGAATGTATCTATTTCTTCTCTCCTCTCTGTTACTATTGTCATTCTGATTGGTTGTGTAGAATGGATACTTTTCTACTGCAAGCCTTTATTTTGACTTTAGTTTCTTTCTTCTTAGAGTATGTGCTGTGTGCTTTGAGATCTCTCTCTGCATGTGTGTCAAAGAGATGCAGTTGATTGGTGTTTTTCCCTCTTTGAAACCTTAGAAGAAATGGGTGTTAGAGTAGCTCAGACCCAATTATTTACCATTAAGAAATGCAGTTATTGTCTATGATCTATATCAGGGGTCCTCAAAGATCATTTACCTGGCCCTCGCTCAGGGTCAACCTAAGTCTGAAACGACTTGAAAGCACACAACAACAACAATCCTATCCCATCAGCCAAAAGCGGGTCCACACTTCCCATTGAAATACTAATAAGTTTATATTTGTTAAAATTGTTCTTCATTTTAATTGTTGTATTGTTTTTAAGTGGTTTTTTGCACTACAAATATGATATGTTCAGTGTGCATAGGAATTCATTCATTTTTTTTCAATTTATAATCCGGCCCTCCAACAGGTTGAGGAATTATGACCTGACCCTCTGTTAAAAAAGTTTGAGGACCCCTGATCTATATAAATAAAAATGTAATGTTCGTTTGTGGGATTAACATAACTAAAAAACCACTAGACGAATTGACACTCAATTTGGACCCAATACACCTATCAGGCCAACATTTGACCATCACTCATAAAAACACTGAAAATCACAGTAGGAGAGACTTAAAAGCCAAAAAACCAAAAAAAAATACATTACAACACATGGGCAAAACCATATATACACAAACACACATATACACAAATATATATACAAATGCATATACACATATATACACACAAAACACATATACACCAACTGGGCCACACCAACGCATGGCAGGGGACAGCTAGTTGTAAATAAACCTTTTGTGATTTTTAAGACTGGACTCTGCATCTTTGCCTGCCTCTGAATTCTTTACAGCTACATCACACAGCACTTGACGCTTTGATCGCTAATGAGCTGAATGCTCAACTTTTTTATCCTGTTTATGTTTTTGGATTCTCTGCTATATTTTAGGGTAGTTTTCCCTAAGAAGTACAGGAGAGAAGAGACAGCCAACCATGTTGCTCTCGAAAAGTTTGCCAGTCTTGAAATCTCTTTTTTTATGAGATAAGGCATGTTTTGAGAACTGAAAATTTCAGATTGTTTTGCATTAGAAGGCACTCAACACAAACATCTTGAGCTTTCAACAGCCCAGCACAGGGAGCTGCCACTTCATGCTAAGTAGGTATTTTTATGCTTTTTTCTGTGGGGCTATGCAAGCAAGCACCACTCAGTCCCTTTTCCCTCTCCTATATATTACTTTAACCACAAACTATAGTGGCAGTGAAAGTCCAAGAAAATTAAAAGACCTTATCTTCCACTATTTCAAATTTGTGGATGATACTCCTGAAAGGCTGCATATTTTAATAATTTTTAATAAATCAGATGCAGAAATAATCCTTAGAATGTGCTCTTTAACTACCACTATTCACTTTTCCACATACATTTCTGCCAACAATGAACAAGTTTTCTGAAGCTGTCACAGAAGAAGTCGGCATTCTGTTTCCGCAACCGATCGTGCACAGATCTTCCGATAGCCAAGCAAAGCACGACAGGAAAATAATGTTCTTGTGAAATGCCGATTATGCTAGAAATGCTAGAAATTTCTCTCTGAGTGATACGATTGTCCTCAATCAATCTGTCAACCTTTTGCTTCTGAAACTCGGTGGTTGCTGTCACAGGACGTCCAACTCTTTGTCATACAAGTCAGATGTTCCCACCTCAGGATCTTTAAACTTACTTGCCCAACTACGCACAGTACTCACATCAACACAATCACCATAAACAGCTTGTATTCTCTGATTAATCTCCTTTGGGGGCGGGGGGGACAGCTTCTGCTGTCAAGAATTCAATGACTTCACATTGCTTAAGTCGCATTGACTGAGCGACTGCAGGGTTCCAAACTTCGAACTTTAACAACACAACCGTTCAATGCGAAGGCTACCAGCCAAAATGAAACTGTAGAGGAGTGTCTACTGAACAATAACAAAATACAAGTTGCAATGCGTTATCAAAACAGAACTGTGTTAACATAAAGCGTGTAAATACACTGCACATGAATCACAAAACAAAACTGAATGTTACTTAGTTATCTTGTAGTCCTTGAGACAGTAAATTATCTTCAAATACTGTCCAAATTAAGTCCAAATGGTACCCAGTTCAAAATATAATCCAAATGATAACTAAGTAACATTCAGTTTTGTTTTGTGATTCATGTGCAGTATATTTACACGCTTTATGTTAACACAGTTCTGTTTTGATAACGCTTTGCAACTTGTATTTTGTTATTGTTCATAGATAGCTGTGTTTCTTGGATGTCTACTGAACAAGCCAGTACCTGCCACATACCAGTACTGCCATCTGGTGAGGAGTTACGAAGGTGGAGGCATTACTTTTCATTCAATCCTCGTATTCTTGTTAAGCTGCCACAACGAGATATGAAAGTTTATCTCCCACAAGACATACAAAAATAGATGATTAACCCATACCTACTGCTACAATTAGATTGTAAATCTATGGGCAGAAGATGACCTGCCTATACAACACCAACCACAAGTGGTAACAGGTTCCGCCTAAGAAGTGTGAAATCCACTTTTCTGTCATTTTATGTCCTTTGCTTTGGGAAAGAGGCCCCTGAGATGGAACAAGGGGAAGAAATCAGGATTTATGAGACTCTTACAAGGGAAAAGGGAGACTTAATTTTTCTTCCTGCATGTTTTTCATGGATACCACAGCAGCATCCAATGAGGACAAAAGATATAAGAAAAAGCAAGAAAGAAGCTGATGGAAAATCACAACAAATATGCAGCTGTGTAAAATATCTCTCATTACCTTCCCCATGACCCTGTATAAAGCTGCCATCATGTGCAGAGATGCTATTGTCTGCTCAATGCTACGGACAGTTGGGGTCCTACTTTTGGATATGAGGTCTTTCCACAAGGCAAGAGCATCATCCAAGCACTTTGACTGCACTGCAAAGAAAGCAAAGTGTTGGACAACAGAAACTGTAGATGCAATCATCTTCTGATAGGCCTAAGGTTGGTCAACTTTCAGTTCTTTCTACAGCAGCAGATAATTCTTTCATGCACACATTTAAACCTTAGCCTTCTGCCAAGAGCAGCTATAAGCAGTAATATTGTTTTCACTTGTCCCTTCTGAGCAGCACAAAGGTTACCATTTTTAAAATAGTAAATATTATGTCATCAGTAAATCTGCCCTAAACACAACAGAGGTCCCCAGCATTTGGCTCCTGGACCATTTTGATATGCAGTACAAGGTCCAATTCCAACATAGCATAATCTTTGACTCTCTAGATCAGGCATGGGCAAACTTCGGCCCTCCGGGTGTTTTGGGCTCCAACTCCCACAAATTCTAATAGCTAGTAGACTGTTAGGAATTGTGGAAGTCCAAAACATCTGGAGGGCTGAAGTTTGCCCATGCCTGATCTAGAGAGTCAAAGGTTCCCCTGCCATCAGGTAGCCATTGGTCCGCTGTGTCTTAAATCCAATTTGCCAGGAAGATAGGAAAGTCAGAGCCTTTTTCTCCTGCTGTAGATGTTAAGTGGTCTGGAATATTCCTCTGAAAGGCTCACCTAGGGGTTACTTTGTAGTCATTTCAGAATCTCCACATATGCTATTTTACACCTTTCTCACAGTAGAGTTATTGGCTATTCTTATACTTGCTGTATTATGACAATTATTATTATTATTATTTTTTGCTGCATGGCATTTATTTATTTGCAGAACTTATATTCCGCCCTTTTCACCCCTAAAGGGACTCAGGGAGGATCACAGAACGCATATACGGCAAACGTTCAATGCCAATTATACAATGACAAGACAGACAACAAATAGAGGTATATTTAGGCTTTTTCTCATCATTTGGCTGTGCTCCGTTCCGGCCACAGGAGGGTGCTGTCACTCCATCTCCTTGCCAAAGAGCTTTCTTTGTTTGTAAACTTTCCTCCAAAACGCTGTGCCTAAAATACTTCCCCGCTTAATGTGGTTCCTATTCATCTATTCACATTGCTTTTTCAATCCACTAGGTGGGCAACAGAGCTGGGCTGAAGGTCAGAAGCTCACCTTGACCCGGCTTCAAACTGTCAACCCTTCAGTTGGCAAGAGATACTGCAGCTGCAGCTGGTGATTAACCTGCTGGGCTAAAGGTGGCCCTTGTTTCACCATATGAAAGTGGCAAAGTCCCTGGTTCAGCATGACTACATTTGTTTGTGAACAATTTTATCTAAGGTATGGGGCAACATTAGCAAGTCCCTATAAGTCTTACTATATCTTTTCTATATTTACATTATTAGAGTTCAATTAATACAGTCACTCTTACTTCAATAGCAGATGACCTTACCAGAGTCAGCTGATAAGTTGAAGGAAATGCCAAGATACAGGAATCTGTCATCCTGGGTCTTGTTTTCATATCCCAGATCATTGGTCTCAAAGTTTTCAAATACTTCTATGTCCTTTTGTCTCTCGTTATTTTTTATCCTCTGTTCCTGCTTGATGCTCTGTGTTGGAAAAAAAAACAATTTGTAAAACTTATATGAGAGTTGGCACCTAAGCAGAAGGATGCTCTGCTTCTTCTATTCCAGTGGTTCTCAACCTGTGGGTCCCCAGGTGTTTTGGCCTACAACTCCCAGAAAACCCAGCCAGTTTACCAGCTGTTCAGGTTTCTGGGAGTTAAAGGCCAAAACATCTGGGGACCCACAGGTTGAGAACCACTGTTCTATTCTAATATAACCTCTTTATTATGATGGAACAACTGAAGACAAGCTATTCCCAAACCATAACTAAAATTATTCAAAGTCCAACGCACATAGTACTTCTACTGGTAACTGCGGTAATTGTAACCCTGCAAACAAAAGGCAAGGCTAATAGCTAAAATTATGGAAGATGATGTAACAGGACATCAGTTGTGACTCTGGCAAATGCCTCAGTATGCTGGGTGCTGGCAAGGCAACCAAAGACAGGGTTATAGTTAGGAAAGCAGTGAAAGCACCAAAGACTTCTAGACTAAGTAACACGTGCGGCCTTTGTTTAAATCAACAAAGATTAAAGTTTCAGCTACATAAGCCAATAGCTTTTTATAAGTGTTCCCAGTGGTGAAAATGAGAAGCTTCTGCTCAAGTACAGAAACCGTCGTGGCAGCAACAACTGAGTTTGGCATCATAGAGATTTCTCTTTTAGTGAAAATATCCCTAACACAGTGTTGCCATTATAACTGATCGCTGTGGAGGTTCTGCATGCTCACATAAACTTTATAATGGGACTTAAAAACTGCAATAGAACAAGAGCATTAACAACACAAAATATGGCAGCAAACTGTATTCAGGTTTTTTAGGAAATCATCATGAGTTTTTGTTAATCTCAAAAAAACAGAGAAAGAATCTTAGTGCTTAAATAATACACTATTCAGGATTATGCAAGCAGAGAAAGCCCTGATTTTAGCCAGAGGTTTTTATGCTGCTTTCTTTATTGCTACTTACTTCATGCATTTTGTCCTCAATTGTACAGATGTAAAGCCAGAGGAAGGCTTGGGCCTTGTCATCCTGGAGCTGCTCTTTATTTTGAGGAGTCTCTGGCACTGAGTCCAACAGTCGCAAGGCTTCATGTATAGAGTCCAAGGCAGAGCTACAGAAAGAAAGACTAGAGTTTAGGCCAAATTTGCAAGTTGGTCTTGCACAGTTGCTGCAGAGAAATGGACAGCATGACCTTTCAGAGAAGGACCAAAAACACTTTAGAGGAGAATCTTCTCTTGTGGTATGCAACCAGATATAATTATGCAAGACAATAATTATATCTGTTTTCTCTGATCTGTTAGGAAAACAGAGATTTGCCAGTGCACAAAAACAGTAGTGCTTCGGAAGTATTTTTCAGTGTCCAATATATATATATACTCTCCCACCAAACAACTTGTTTTATATCATGCACTCAAGAGACAAAAATGGAGTAAACTTGGATAAATGACCAATGACGGTTTTAAATTGTGTATTTTAATATTTTGATAAATGTTTTTAATGTTTATTTATATTCATATGAATTCTTGTCCTGGCATTGTGCTCTGCCCTGAGTCCCCTTCGGGCTGAGAGGGGTGGAATAGAAATGTTCAAAATAAATATAATAATTAAGAATAGCATATTTGGTTTGCTCACAACCTTCATGTGTTCAATACACACATGTGCAAAACTTATTATTTATTATTATTTATCATTTATTTATTGTATTTGTATACCACCCTTCTCAGCCCTCAGGCGACTCGGTCCAGTTTTGGATATGTGAGATAATTATAAATTGCTTACCTGTAACTGTAGTTTCCTTAGTAGTCACCTGCGAATGCATACATTTGGTATTCTCTGCGCTTGCATAGCAGCATTCGGAACCTTCTAAAGCAAAAAGAATGACAGTTAGGCCACGCCCCCTTCCCCTGGTATAAATAGCCCGTGGGCGGGGCCACCCGTCAGTTCTCTTCCGCCGCAAAGCAGCTGGAAGGCGCGGCATGACACCTGAGGGGAGGAGGGTGGGTATGTATGCATTCGCAGGTGACTACTAAGGAAACTACAGTTACAGGTAAGCAACTTATAATTTCCTGTCGTAGTCACTGCGAATCATACATTTGGTAGATTAGCGAGCTACTGACCATGGTTGGTGGGAGTCATGCCACCGCCGAAAAAAGCACCGCCCTGCCGAACTCAGCATCCTTCTTAGAGGCGATATCCAGCTTATAATGTGAGACGAACGACAGCGGATTCGTCCAGATGGCAGCACGGCAGATGACATCTAGCGGTACTCCTCTCATGAAGGCAGCAGAAGTCGACACGGCTCTGGTAGAATGGCCTCTGACCTGCAACGGTAAGTCCTTGCCAGCCAATCGGTAGCATAACTTAATGGTTGACACAATCCAGGAGGAGAATCTCTGAGACGACAGTGGCATACCCTCCATATCCTTGCGATATTTAATAAAGAAACGTGGTGTCTTTCTCAGAGATGCTGTCCTGTCAACGTAGTAGGCTACAGCTCTATGGACATCCAACAGATGCAAGGTACGTTCAATAGAAGAAGAGGGATTTTGAAAAAAGGCTGGGAGAATTATCTCCTGGGACATATGGAAAAAAGAAGAGACCTTGGGCAAAAAGGCAACGTCTGTTCTAAGCACAACCTTATCTTTATGTATCCTCAAATAAGGGGGGTCTACCATTAGTGCGCACAGTTCGCTTGCACGCCTTGCTGATGTTATAGCAACCAAAAATGCTGTTTTCCAAGAAAAGTAAGAGATGTGTGTAGAAGCCATGGGTTCGAAAGGTGACTTGGTCAAAAACGATAGTACCAGCTCTAAGCTCCATGCCGGAACTACTGGGGCTACTGGAGGCCTAGTATTCGCCATTCCTCTGAGGAAAACCCTCACTAGGGGATGTGCAAAACACGAAGGGAGACCCTCCTTCCTACGGAACCACGAGACCGCCGCTAGATAGCACTTTAGCGATGCGTGAGATAATCCTGCATCTGCCAGAGACATTAGGAAATCTAACACTACTGAAATTGGGGCCGTGGAAGGACTTTCTCCCTTCGTTTTTGCATACGCACAAAACCTAGACCACTTGTACACATAAGATCTCTTTGTTGCTGGCTTGTGGGCCGCCTCTATAATGGTCTGAATTTTACTTGACAGAGCAGATATTGGTACTAGTGGTTCGGCCGAATTCTCCATGCCGTTAACCTCAGTTTCTCTACTTCCGGGTAAAATACCCAGCCCTCCTGTGACATCAACAGGTCTACCCTGCTGGGGAACCTGAAGAAAACTCTCTTGGACATTCAAAGCAGAGGAGAGAACCAGGGCTGTCTTGGCCACCAAGGGGTTACCAAGATGCAACTCACGTTCTCCCTCTGAATTTTTGCCATAACTCTCAATAGCAGGGGAAAGGGAGGGAAAGCATACAGTGGGCGACCCGACCACCCCTGCAGGAACGCATCCCCCAAACATCCCTCCTGTTGGGACATGCGTCGGCGCGCGCAGAACAGAGCGCACTTGGCATTGGCCTTGGAGGCAAAGAGGTCCACCTCCGGACATCCCCACGCTCTGAAGAGTCTGTTCACCTCCTCTTGATTGAGGGACCATTCGTGATTCGCAAGCGGATTTCTGCTGAGTGAGTCCGCTAGCGCATTCTCCTCCTCAGGAACATGTGTTGCTAGCAAGTGAATCTTTCTCTCCAGACACCACTCCCAGATCTGGAGAGTGAGATTCAACAGGGGGAGGGAATGAGTGCCGCCCTGTTTGTTTAAGTAAAACATGACTGTGGTGTTGTCTGTAAGGATTAGGACGATCTGACCCTCTACGACTCTCTCGAAGGATTTTAGTGCTCTGTCTACTGCCAGTAATTCGAGAAGATTTATGTGTGATGTTTTTTCTTCCTTCCACTCTCCGTGAGCAGTGAGGCCTTGAGTGTGAGCACCCCACCCCGAGAGGGAGGAATCTGTTGTAACTACACGTGTTGGCTTGGGTGCATAAAAAGGGTGCCCCATGCACACCCACCCTCTGTCTTCCCAACACTGTAGTGATTGGCGGACAGACTCGGGGATGGAAAGGAGAGTGTTTTGACTGGCTATTAGTGGGTTGTATGCCGATATGAACCATGATTGAAGCAGACGCATATGCAATCTGGCATACGGTATGACCGCAGTTGCAGAAGCCATGTGCCCCAAGAGTATCTGGACCTGATTGGCAGTAAGGCATGCAGCATGGACAGCTTGTTGAACCTTGGCCTGCAGGTTGACAAATCGGTCCTCTGGAAGATAGGCCCTTTCGGTCGTGGAATCCAAAAGAGCGCCTATAAATTGAATTTGTTGAGTTGGGACCAGTGCTGATTTTTCCATGTTGATCACGAGTCCTAGCGACTGTATAAGAGACAAAATAATAGAAAGTTGTGACTGAAGTAGGACACGTGATTCAGCCACCACTAACCAATCATCTATATAGGGATATACAGAAATTCCCCTCATGTGCAGGTATGCCGCCACAACGGCCATACACTTAGTGAATACCCGTGGGGCAGCAGACAATCCAAAAGGTAAAACATTGAAACAAAATGGGCTATTTCCCACCATAAAAGAAAGAAACCTACGATGGTGCTGTGTAATGGATAAGTGAAAATAGGCATCTTTTAAATCAATAGTGGCAAACCAAGCTCCCTTAAATAATAAGGGCAAAATAGTATTAATAGTGACCATACGAAACTTCCTTGGTCGAACATGTTTATTTAATAATCTTAGGTCCAAAATAGGTCTCAAGCCACCAGTACGTTTCTTAATCAGGAAATAACGCGAGAAAAAACAATACGAAACATCAACTGTAGTAAGGGGGGAAATAGCACCCTTCTGTAATAACATTTGAATCTCCTCCCATAATGGTTGTGAGAAAGGGGTACTTCGAACATGTCCAACCCTGGGAAGGTCTAGAAACTCAATAACGTAACCGTGGGCAACAATAGATAGGACCCATTTGTCATTGGTAATCCCGGCCCATATGTCGTAATAGGATGACAACCTGTCCCCAAACATACATAACTGAGGCGTATTGCCAACACGACTAGTGGAATTAACTACAGTAGTGGAATTAACTACTGTATTGGAATTAACAGTAGTGGAATTAACTACAGTAGCAACATCTACTGCCTCAATGGTCTAAAGATCAAGGGATTACGTGTCAGCATTAAGAACGTCAAAGACGCTTCTTTGGATTTCCCTGTGGCTTCCCTTTGTTAACCCAGGTCTGGGATCTCCCTCTGGAAAAAAAGAATTTCTCCTTCCAGATTGAAACCTATTATTGGAGAAATTTCGACTCCTATTTGACCCAGAGAAAGAATTCCCAGAATTTCTCCAAAAACTGGAATTATAAGGGTGCCAGCGTTGCCTCTGTTGAGAGTATGGCTGCCACGAGTAACCAAACTTGTTCGCTGCTTGTCTCACATCTTGTTTTTCCTTAATCCTAACGTCGGTCTCTGGATTAAAGAGTCCTTCCTCATGGAAGGGAAGGTCTTCTGCAAGAGCCCTCCCTTCCTCAGATAAATTAGCAGAACGCAACCAAGCATGAGGTCTAATTGACGTAGCCATGGCATACAAATTACCAGCCATTTCTGCAAGGTGCTTGGCAAAATCTTTTTTAACTCTGGACAATACAATAGCTTCAGCTTGTAGGGCTCTCGGGAAGCGTTGCTTGTCCAATGGGATAAACTCAATGTAAGGGAGTATTTTAGCCCACAGAAAACTTTGATACCCACTAAGATAGGTTGCGTAGTGAGCCATCCTAGTGAGGAGGCCCGCTGACAGGTGTGCCTTTTTACCCATGGTGTCAATCTTTTTTCCCTCCCTATCTGGGGGAGTGGTAAGGGTATTTTTTGGTCTCTTTGTCTTTGCTACTTCTGCTACAACCGTATTTGGTTTGGGAGGAGTAACCACCCACTTATTTGAGGAAACGTCAATTTTGTAAAGCACATCCATTCTCCTTGGTATCGCAGGGACTGACATGGGAGATGCATCTATTACACGTGCCAACTTTAGCAAATAGGGAAATACAGGTAAGGTAGTGGCAGGCGACGAAACTTGCTCGTCGGAGGGGAACATGGGGTCGTCTACATGCTCCGGTGCTTTAGGAGCGGGTAGATTTAATGCCTTAATCATTCTCCCTATGAGCCCATTGAATTTATTAATCTCGGCAGATTGCATAAGAGAGGTGGCATCCTCTTCCCCCTGGCACAGGTAATCAGGCACATCAGACTCTTCTGATGCACTGTCCAAATGTACTTGTGCTTGTTCAACACCCTCTGTCAGAGAGGCAGAGTCAGGGCCTTGGGGTGTTGATTCACCTTGCGTCTGAATGGGTGCTGGTTCTGCACCTTGCAGACTGATGACAGACGCTGGCGGCACATCTGCTTGCCGAGAAGATGTTAACTCTGCATTCATAGGAGACACGGAATGATGTGAAGATTCCATCCCCGCAGATGAAGACGTTGAACGACTCCGTGTAGTATGCATAGTTTGATTCACCTGGTGGGGCCTGACACTATTGGATGATGTGGATGGGCCTTGTACATCAGCAGGATGCACATCAAATCCAGAGTCTCCCCTTCTCTGGCTTCTTGAGTATCTTCGTGTGTCCTCCGCATAATTAGGAGCATGCATGGGCATACCGTGAGACATATGCCCTTCCTGGCAGCAGTTTGGGTGTGGGTAATATCCCATGGGAGGGTGGCCCCAATAAGGTGGATAGGGGAGATAGCGATGCTTTTGACGTCTCGAGTGTTTTGAATGTCTTGGAAGGGGAGAAGGAGAGCGTGAAGCCGAGGATAAGGAAGAGGAGGAGGATGAGGTGGAAGGAGAATGCCCCCGCACGCCGCTCCTCAATGCCGATCAATATCGGCAGCGGCGGGACCGAGTGCTCCTCCTTGATGGTGATCTGGAGCGCCTAGGGCGCTTGCTGCCCCTCCTGGAGGTGCGTCCAGGCAATGGTTCTGTAAAGCCTTGCCTTGCTTCGCTCTGCATTGAAGCAGTAGGCTCAAGAAGCGGCGCGCTCCCCACTATGGGCGGAGCGAAGCCCGAGCGTCCTCCATCCTCGGCGCTCTCGACGCCGGCAGGTGGAGTCAAAACAGCGCGCTCCGCCTCCACAGGCCATCCCGCTGCAGCGGGCTGAACTGTGAATGCGCGCTCAGTGCTCTCTCTAGTTTCGATATCGGCGCTAGTAGCTGGGCGCAATGGAAGGCTGACGATAGCGGCTGCAGTCTCTTTTTGGCCCTCCAGAACTCGATGTGGGGGCACAACACGAGGCAAGGCTGTTGCTGAGGCTGAGGCACCTTTCTCTCCCACGGGAGGAGGCTGGTTGGGCGACAGTATTGGCATAGGAGGGTAAGTCTAACTGGTCTCGCTTCCCCCTCGCGCCTCTCCTGCGTCGGAGTGGCAGCAATGTTTTTATCAGCCAACAGGGGGAGACTCAAGTCACTGTCCTTCGGCCTCGAGGAAGAGTTTGTAGCATGATGGGCAGCTAACGAACTGCCCTTAGCTTCCAAAGCGGCCGTTTTCTTGCCAGTGGCCGAGCGGCCATCTTGGGGCATTTTTTCCTTCAATTTCTTCATTTTTTTCTTAGCTGTAGTCACGGTGCCTGCCTCAGGCAAGTCAATCTTTATGGGATCCGATGAAGGCAGAAGTGCCCTTTCATAAAGGGCTGCCTTCAACCGTAAAATTCTGTTCTTCCTGGTCTGCGGTGTAAATGCTTGGCAGACAGAACAGGACTGGAAAAGGTGAGCCTCACCCAGGCAGGCGAGGCAAAGCTCATGTCCATCATTATCTGGCAAAATGTTTGGACACTTTATGCATTTCTTAAAAGAGCTAGTTGCCATGATGATTGAGGCAAGAAACAGATAGTATATTAAAGTCCTTAGCTTAAGTCTAGCTCGCAAGAGATAGAAGGTTCTCAGCTGCTTTGTTCAGCGCGGATGAAGAGAACTGACGGTTGGCCCCGCCCACGGGCTATTTATACCAGGGGAAGGGGGCGTGGCCTATCTAACTGTCATTCTTTTTGCTTTAGAAGGTTCCGAATGCTGCTACGCAAGCGCAGAGAATACCAAATGTATGATTCGCAGTGACTACGACAGGAAAGTCTCTGTGCCATCCGGCCAGTACATCTCTCTTACAACAAAACAGTTATCAATAGGTCACAGTCAAAAGGAGAGAGAAAGAGCATGTGCTCTGCAGCTCTTTTTATAACTTCTCAGAAACCACAGAGTAAAGGAAGTTGCATACCAAAACACACATAAAAAAAGGAAAAAGTAAGCAACAGGATCATAGATAAACATTACTAGAGAAGGTTTGAAGAAGGTTGTCATTTCCAACAAAGTCAAGAATCTGCCAATTGCTTCCTGCGTTCAGTGTAGACTGCTCTGGAGTCTTAATGCAGGATGTCCACTTGGATGTTTTGAAGCCATGTCAGAAATATTTTTTAATATTGAGTAATTTTATAATATCACTGAAAATTATTAACTTTAATTTCTCATTAACTACTGCCCTAGGAGCCCCTTGTGCCGGCAGGACTGCTGACCGAAAGTTCTGTGGTTTGAATCTGGGGAGCCAGGTGAACTCCCGTCTGTCAGCTCCAGCTTCTCATGCGGGGACATGAGAGAAGCCACCCACAAGATGGTAAAACATCCAGGTGTCCCCTGGGCAACATCCTTGCAGACGGTCGATTCTCTCACATGAGAAGCAACTTGCGGTTTCTCAAGTCACTCCTGACATGAAGAAAAAACATATCAAAACTACTGTCCTTGTTAGAAAGTCTCAGTCATTTTTAAAAGATCTAACAATTTAATGAATGACCTATTCAATCAAACAACATCACAGTTGTTTTCCTAATAGTTATATGTCACCATATTAGGAACGATTAAAGGTAACTAACATTTCAAAGCTTTAAGGTTTCAGGAACAAATAAGAAGGGTATGCAACATGCATGGCGATCACAGATTTTAAGACAAAACTACAAATAATATTATCCAATACTAAAAATAAAGGCTGGAAAGTGCAACTGGAACAGAAAATGGCTTATACAAAGATGGGGTTTCAAATTAAACTGAGATTTTCCTGCATGGGGGGGAATCAACCACTGCAACATCTACAAAATTGACACAAATCCCACACTGGACTCTACTCACCATTCTGTATGCTCACTGTAGTCATGGTAACACAGCACCTGGGCCAGTTCCACCAGGATCACAGCCCGCTTATGGATGCAATTACCATCATCAGGACACATATCTAGCAGGTCACAGATCACATTGAAACGTTCCTGGCCAGTGTCTACTCGCACTGTCTTGTAGGCCTTGAGCTCCTCCAACAGCACTTCCAAAAGAATCTCAGAATCCAAATTGTAGTCTTCCAGACCCTCCTTCAAAGTCCTGTGATTAATATACAAGCTGATCATGAGTGATGCTGAGAAACAAAGTATGGTCTAGTTAATGAGTAGGAGAAGTTGGAATCTTGAGCTGATTGAATGGGACTGAGCACAAAGGCAGACAACCCTGCCTCTGGATAACCTCCACCACAGGAGGTGGGTGTTTTTTTTAACAAGAATCCAGGGATGTCTTGTTGGCTCAAACCATGAATAAGTTCTGCTTCCAGATACCTTTGGGAGCTGGGAAACAAATATGGAAAGCATCACTGGGTTGTTGTAGGTTTTTTTGGGCTATATGGCCATGGTCATATAGCCTGAAAAAAACCTACAACAACTCAGTGATTCCGGCCATGAAAGCCTTTGACAATACATGGAAAGCATCATTTTCTTGTTTGGTGTGTACAGGGGTTAGCAGCTTGTGCTCATGGAGACTGCACAAAAAGTAACTGCTAAATCTACACTCTGTTAATTCACCCTGTTATAAGACACCATCACCATACCCTATAGCAATGTATTTTTATTACATAAAACTGTCTGAGGAAAAAGATAAGATTACAGATGTAAAAATGAAACTTCATTGCGTTTTAGCATGGATAATCTGCCTTCCACTCTTTAAAAACCTCATAAGAAGTACATCTTTTCCTATACTTTCATTAGACTTCAGTCTTCCTCTATATGGAAAGTTCCCTGGCTGCTTCATCATTACTGCTGCTATTTTCTATACCTTTCCCCTCAATCCCAACTACCCCACTTCCACTGTTAGCCCCAGCTTCTGTCAACCTAGCAGTCTGAAAACATGCAAATGTGAGGTCAATAGGTACTGCTTCTGCAGGAAGGTAACGGCAATCCATGCAGTCATGGCGGCCGCATGACCTTAGAGGTGTCTATGGACAATGCCCACTCCTTGGCAAAGAAATGGAGATTAGCACACATCCCGCCCCAGAATCGGACACAACTAGACCTGATGTTAAGGGGAAACCTTTATCCCTCTATATGAAATAGGCTGACATCATAAGATTTCTAAAATAGATATCCACAGCCTGCCATTAGTTTTCCTTTACTAGATATATTATCTGTATGATTAGGCAAACCCTACATGCCAGCCTGGGCAGTGAACTAAGGCCCAATTCATATAGGCATTTAAGAATACAATAAAGCAGTGGTTCTCAACCTGTGGGTCCCCAGGTGTGTTGGCTTACAACTCCCAGAAATCCCAGCCAGTTTACCAGCTGTTAGGATTTCTGGGAGTTGAAGGCCAAAACATATGGGGACCAATAGTGCGTATTTACAGCACAGCCACGTAGGGAAACCTAGATGTATCTGTTGCATCTGATGTAAAAATGCATAAGAAATCTGTGTTTAACTGTGACTCCTGTGCAGATATAATCACTACACAGAGTTACAATAAGTTGCTATCTTTATAGGTCAAACAAATATGAGTTGGACATTACCAGCTGGGAATATGGGAAGAGGTGTGTGAGCATCCTTGAGCTATTGTCTTGCTGGCAACTACCACCCTCCTGCATAAGTAAATGAATGATGGACCATTATACTCCATTAGGACTGAACTTTCCCACTTCATTTAAACACAATTGAGAAAGGGCTCTTTTGCTTTATAACAAGGTTTCTCTCACAGTAATTGCAAAAGCATTAATGTGCTCTATTGTTGAACTATAGCGCCAAATGTTGACTGGTGCTGAAAGACGAGAGCCTTAAAAGGCAAGGAGTATATCAGAAGCCTCATTTCCCTGTTATTCTTAACCATCAGCATGAAGGTTAAGAAATTTTTTTCAGTACTGTGTCTCCTTTACCCCAATAGAAATAAAGGGAGTCTTCAGTCTCTTGCATGAAAACAAAATAACCAAGCTGCAAATATAAGGATCTGGACTATTTTGGTAATTTGTAGTCATCTGTAGTCATCTTAATCTAAAACAGGAATTGCATACTTTGTTTTTTAAAAGGATGCAGAAAGTTTTGGACTCTCATGTTAAAATTGAAAGACATTGTCTAAAAAAATCAATTTCCTGAGACACAGTGGCCAAACAATAAACAATTTGTACCACCATCACCATGAAACTACAACTATGAAGCATGGACTGGGAAACAACAATCCACCATTTTAGGAGTTGCATACTCATCTCTCGACTCCCTTCTTACTTCAGTCTTAGGTCATCTGCCCCACTTTTGCTGGCATCGATTTTGACTTTGACCCAGAAGGAGATTGGTTCTGCCATGTGTTCTGTGATCTTGCTAGGATAAGAAGCCAGCCAGCGTACCACAGCCTGCAGAGCTTCTTCTACCAAGCCCAATTTTCTATAGTTTTCCACTTGCAATTTAAAACAATTGTGTAGCTGTAAAGGAAGAGAAAAGCATTCAGGTGGCATAGAATGAAGCAAATAGCTATAAGAGAAGGTGAAAAAACCCCATTTAGTCCTCAAACTTTCATTAACTATAGCATGAGCTGTCAATTTTCTCTGAACTGAAGTAAGACTTTAAATGATGAGCTCACTGAGCCCAACTTGCTCAAGAATGTCTTCATCGATTGACATCAACTGACATTAAAGAGTTTCTAAGAATACCAGAAAACTTCTGATACAAATAACTACATTTGTGTTCAGCTTTTCTGTCAGGGGTTCTTTCCATCAGGGGAGATTGCCTATGATTAGTGAGTCACTGTTACAAGATTACTCCACACCTAACATTATAGATTCTCTGTCCTGACAAAAACTTTCTTATATCATTGGATAAAATATCAACAGAAAATTGAGATGAAGAAGACAGAGGCATAATGTAGCATTTGGAAGAAGGGTCATAACATCACATGGTCCCATGGAAAAAGGTCAAAATCTGTAAGCATACTGGTTTGAGTCTCTGATCCAATCTTCAGTTCCAGGATCTTCTTGTATATTTTATCTAAACCACTGTGAGATGCTAGTACAAGTTGAGCATCCCTTATCTGGGATTTAGGAATCTAAAATACTCCAAAGTCCAACATTGTCTAAGTGGGTGCCTGAGATACTGGCAACTTTGCTTGCTCATGATTTAGTAGACAAAAACTTTGTTTCATACATTTATTTTTATTTATTTACTGTATTTATATATTTTAACATAATCATGGCAAAATTCAATGCCAAACATACATGTGAAAAACCAAAACATAAAAACAATAACATATAATATGAATTAAAACCATATTGAACCATAAAATATAAGCAATGTTTAAACATTAAACACATTTAAACACATAGAATTAAAACATCTTAGTATTTTTAAAAAATCACATAATGCGAAATCATGGTCTGAAGCGATTCCAATTGTCAATTGCACATATTCCCTATTCATTTCTTGTATTGCATTACTTTACTGAACAAAGAGTTGGTCCCATAGCCATGTCTTTGCTTTCTTTCTGAAGGCCAAGAGGAAGGGCAGTGATCTAATTTCACTGAGGAAGGAGTTCCATAGACAAGGGGCCACCACTGAGAAGCCTTAAACGTTTCTGGCCCAGTTTACCTGTCTCAACATATCTCCCTCTATGAACCATCTGGGAGGTTATGATTGTCCGGGGAGGCCCTGCTCTCGATCCCACCTTCTTCGCTGGTGGGTATGAGAAACAGGGCATTTCCAAGCTACAGGTATAACTGGCGCACAAGTTTTAATTGTGCAAAAGCTCCCCTGGCCACCAAGCTCAGTGATGAATCCAGGATCTCCCAAGCTGCAAACCTGTGTCTTCAGGGGGACTGTAACCCCATCCATTACAGACGGTAACCCTATACACTGTTCAGCCTTACAACTGACCAGGAGTACCTCTGCCTTGCCTGGATTCAATTTCATTTGTTCACCTTCATCCAGACCATTCAAGGTCAATTGTTAACACATTATACCATATCTAAGGGGGTTTTTTATACACACATTGAGTCTCTTTTTCTCTTTCTAGGATAATACAATGGATAATACAATAATCTTCCTAGCAGATATATCATGTCTTTGAAATGTCATGCAGGCTTCTTTCATGCCAGTTTATCAAACTACAAATAAAATGTTTAATTACCTTTTCAGTCAGGAGGTCTGGATATTGGGAAAACACCTTCTTAGCCATCCATTTGCAGAAGAGCTCTGCCACTGAGTTAGATTCCACATACATCTTATGAGTGTAAAAGCTATATGCTAGCCGTGACACACAATAGGCTGTTAAAAGAAGAAAACAAGATTTAAACCAAACATTACAGAAATTAATGACTTGTCTCTTCAATATAGTCAATGCACCAATAAACTTTTAGCAAGAAGTTCTTCATCTTTGTACTGAGAAGGAAGATGTAAGTCATTATTATATCATAAACGCCCTGCCTTGGCACGCATGGATTTTGTGTGTCATGGCACTCCACAGTAGGCAGAATGATGAGCTTTCTTTGTTACAATTACACCTACTGCAGCTATTAATCCCCAACAGCATATTTTTGTATCAGTGCAATGGTTTATACTCCTGGTAAGATTTGGAATGGATTCAGTCCCATCCCTTATGTTCTCTGTTAGGACTGACATCTGAGGAGCGGAATCTCACAGCAATATGTGTTCTCCTCCAACCTCCTCCATGATTTAGCTGTCAACACAAATGATCAGGATCCAAGAAGGGAAAAAGCAGTGGGGAAAGAGCTCCAAAACAATCCCTTCAAACAAGTGGAATGGACACTTAAGAAACAAACAAATGTAATTTAGTAAAAAAAGAAAAAGAAAAAAGGATAAAGTGATGCCTATTGGGCAAAAAAAAAGATTTAAAAAATCTTAACCTCACATATAGCATAGGAACAAAGTTGGTAATGAGTGTCTAAGAAGGAATTACTGGAAATCCAGTGGAAATGTTCTTGGAATTAACATGGAAGCATGAAACCACAGATAATAGTGAATCCTTGCATGCTGGTTGCTTCTGGATTTCTAGAACCTCAACCAATGGCTGATACCAAATGAGAGACTCCCCCCTGGGCACACAGAGGACTGGGCGACTTGGAAGGCGCTGAACAGCCCCTTCAGAAATGGGGCTACAAAGTGGAATCCTTGACATGAGAGTGTGGAGAGGAGCAAACCACTGACCACCTGCTGCAATGCAACCTGAGCCCAGCCACATGCACAATGGAGGACCCTCTTGCAGCAACACCAGAAGCACTCCAAGTGGCCAGATACTGGTCAAAGGACATTTAATCAACTACCAAACTCACACATTTTGTATTTTCTCTGTTTGTTTGCTTTGCTCGGTTAGAAATGTAATATATTTGACTGGCTGCCCTGACACGAGAAATATATAAATAGTGAATCCTATTAGGAACAACTTCCTATGAAAGTATACCATGGAACTGTGACAGAAAATGTAGAAAATGTCTATAGAACGTATTTTTGGATGAGAGTAAGTGAAATTGTTGGTACTCATTCGATGGATGAAGGGATCAGACTGCACTATAGTCCACTAACCACAGCTAAAAAGATATTGGTTACTCTGAACACCAAGAATACATGGAACCACATCATCTACTATATAGCCTTTTTGACCAAAATGGCTCTTCTTATGTTCTTATAAATTTCCCAATTGAAATATTTGCTAATTTTGACATTTCCTCTATTTCCTCTCAATATGAAGGACAATGACAGTACAATGCAACATCTGAATGTGACAAAAGGCAAACAATTTCTCTTATGTTGGGTAACAACCTGAGTGATCCAGGTATTCAGCTTGTTCCCTCTCAGAAAGATCATCTATCCTATCCAGAAATCCATTAACAATTCTCTGAAGAGACGCCAATAACTGTGGAAGCCCAGCAACCTCTGGTTCCTGTGAGAAACAAAATACAGGTTGTAGGAACAGAAATAGGGAGGAAGGACACTTAAAACCCAAGCAACATTTTGCCACAGTATAAGACAGTGACACACTACCTTGATGCATCCTTGACATACACTTGCACCCATGTTTTTCTTGTTCTAAAATACACATACAGATGTAAACTTGGAGTAACGATTGTCATCTGAAACTGAGATGCTACCTCACCATGGCGGATTTAAGAAATGCTACTTCAGCTATATCTCAAATGGCCTGGGTATATCTATTGTGGGTACAACCTATTATGTCCCAAGCAACTGTATATACTTCCATATAAGATGAAGAAAACTGACAAAAAATAAACCCAGCTGTTATTCTGCTGTGATTGTGATTTATCTGTCTCATGGGATAAACTCATCAGGCTTCATGATGTCTACTTGCCAACCAAGGGTGTTTTTTTTTACAGTCTCTGTTTGTTAACTAAGTACCTTATTCATTAAATATACATACACAACACACATTTACTTACATGTTGGCCTGGAAACACGTTAGCAATTTTCTACCATTTATACAGTCTATTTTGATAGGCAAGCTTTCCTCATAGGAGAAAGTAATTCATTCAAAGTGCAAGGCTGGACCATCACATGTTGTGATACTAGTTTTTACTAAATACCGAGTCATCAATGGCACATTGCTATTTGTCGAACAGTAGGGTACATTGCCATTTTCACAAATGGAACATTATGCGTACGAAACAATGTATGATGTAACAGATAGACTTCAAATTCACATCATCTACTGAACCCCCCAAAATTGCAATTTATAAAGAGCGGTATATCAAAACCTTGGCAAGCAGTTAGACCCGATTCTGCGTTCTTCCAAAGCAAACTCCACATTGTAGGGTAAGCCCTCTAAATATTCTGGGCAACAATTACGACCTGACTTTTGGATATGCTGGCAGGGGCTGACAAATGTTTTTCAGCTCACTAGATTTTTAACTTATCTTGTGGAAAAAATGATCTAGATCAGAGGTGTCAAACTTGTGACCTTCTAGGTGTTTTGGACTTCAGCTCCCAGAATTCCTGGCCACTGGACAAACTAGCCAGTGCTTATGGGAGTTGGAGGCCCAAACATCTGGAGGGCCACAAGTTTGAAACCTCTGATCTAAAGCAAGGCTTGGCATGCTTCAGAAATCTGGGGCCTAGTTCTCTTCGTCCATGATCCACTAAGAGCTGTGCTGACTCCATTTTCCATTTTAGATAGGAAAAAAATAACTGGAAAGATCTAAGTATTCATTGCCAATCCTTTTTTTAAAGCTATTAATGGTATGTGTGTGTGTGTGTGTGTAGAATGAAAATCATTTATTCTCTTGGATTCCAGGAGATATTCCTTATTTGAAAAGAAAACAGTGAGGGTAAGAATCAGGTGTGTGTGCACATGCAGAAAGAGTCTTTGGGACTACAGAAGCCAAATCCCTAATGAAGAGTTCACAGGGATGGGAAGGGAAGGCCCGTCCAGATGCTATTGGCCTCAACCTCATAATACCATATGACTTGCCATTCTGGAAAAAGCTGATGGCAGGAAGAGCTCAACATCATTTGGAAGGCCACAGTTTCTCTACTTTCCAGGTAGGGGATAAGTGCATTGCCATCCCGTCAGATCATGAGATCTGGTGAACAATAGCAATTCAGTACATCTCCAGGCAAGGCTCTATCACAGAAATACTAATACTAATAGTCTAATCTATTAGTAGGCTATTTTGGCAGAAGATGTTGGAGACTATATGGAAACACAGCATGTGCATAGTGACTGATCCATTAAAGAGCCATAGCAAAGCTAAAAACTAAATGACTCATAACTTCTTTTTTTTATAAAAGTATTTCTTCTTTCACTCTAAAGATGAAAACACCTTGTATGGTCTTTAATTCAGAAATTCTCTTATTTATGAAAATTCCGTAGAACATATGCTGCTTCTTCATTTCCCATACCTGTACAGCCTGAAGAGAATCATAGACTATAGTAGTATACAGCTGAACGTAATGATACATTAATTTCATCACAGCTTGCTTTTGTTTCACATTGTCTGGGGAAACCTGTGGATGAGAAGTGAGACAGGAAATGACATAAATGGTCCCAAGCCAACTCCTGACAATGTTATTCAGTCTTTAATTGGTTACATTGGTTACAATTCAAATAAAGATAATACATAATAAACATATAGAGATAATAGGGGAAAGGGATTTTCTGACCTATTCTGATATTTTAAATGAAATTTGCAAAGCTATTACAGCAGCTTCATTGTGAAATGAAATGGATGAGAACTGAAAAAAATAATTTTTAAAATAAGGATTCCTGGAAAGTAGTCCAAATGGTTGCATTTGGTAAATATAACAACACAACGCACCTTGCCAAAGAGTCTGTTTTTAAAACTCAAGTGTCTATAAGATTTAATAATTTAGGAAAAGATGCTTCACTATCTCCATCCCCATTTGCTTCTGTAAAGCTTGCTAGGATCCTAAACCAACCAACTTATCCACCCATACCTCCATGGGAGAAAATTGGTTTTTCAGAACAATACAATAACACTTATATTTAGGGAAAGCAAGACAGATTAAATCCCAATCACATGGTATGCTAATTAATATCTTTATTAATGACTTAGATGAAGGGTTAGAAGGCGTGATAATCAAGTTTGCAGACATCACCTAATTGGGAAGGATAGCTAATACTCCAGAGGACAGGAGCAGAATTCAAAACTATCTTAACAGATTAGAGAGATGGGCCAAAATGAACAAAATAAAGTTCAAAAGGGACAAATGTAAGAAACTCCACTTAGGAAGAAAAAATGAAATGCAAAGATACAGAATGGGGGACGCATGGCTCGAGAGCAGTACGTGTGAAAAAGATCTTGGGAGTCCTCTTGGACAACAAGTTAGAAATGAGCCAACAATATCATGCAGCAGCTAAACAAGCTAATAAGATTTTGGTCTACATAAATAGTGTCTAGATCCAGAGAAGTCATTCTACACCTCTATTCTGCCTAGATCAGACCACACCTGGAATCACACTGTGTCCAATTCTGGGCACTGCAGTGTAAGGGAGATGGGATCATGTATAAATATGTGAGGGGAAGTCATAGGGAGGAGGGATCAAGCTTGTTTTCTGCTGCCCTGGAGATTAAGACGTGGAACAAACTACAGGTAAGGAAATTCCACCTGAACACGAGGAAGAACTTCCTGACTGTGAGAGCTGTTCAGCAGTGGAACTTTCTGCCCTGGAGTGTGGCGGAGGCTCCTTCTTTGGAGGTTTTTAAGCAGAGGCTGGATGGCCATCTGTCAGAGGTGCTTTGAATGCAATTTTCCTACTTCTTGGCAGGGAGTTGGACTGGAGGGCCCACGAGATCCCTTTCAACTCTGAGTCGATGAACCCAGTGTTACCCAATATAGGGAAGACTGACTTACCATTTTTATCAACTTGCTGAACATTGTGAGGTAATGTTCCATGAAAGCAGAGAACCCTTGAATTTCTTCCAAGCTGAAATGCCTCCACTGACTCTTCCTCACATGTCCATATAAAGAAGTTACAAGTAATTGGCAGCTTTCAACCAGCAGTTTTAGAAGTGGTTCTTCAATATCTAGTAAAGAAGCTATCCCCTCAGCAATCTGATGAAAGGAAGGCCCCACTGATCCCTCACCAAGCAGTAGCTTTCTACTTATTACAAGTCCAGCTGAAAGAGTCTTAAAAATTACAGCAAACCAATGCTTCATGTTGCTGGATCTGCTCAAGTAGCTGCTGGATTGCCGGAGAATTTCATTGCATTCTCTGAAGCAGCCACTTTTGCAGAGGTAACGGGCCCTTATGATGGCTAGCTCACAGACATGGAGGCAGTCCTGGATGGCCAAAGGCTCCTTCTTGCTCTTCCTTTCCAAAATGGCTTCAACAAGGTGGTGGAAGAGCTGGTCACTGAGAAAACAGGCCTCTTCCTTGCTCAGTGGGTTCTGCTGGGCCTCAAATACAGCAGCTGCAGCCGAGGCATGCCGAGCCACCATGGTGGTAAAGAATGGAGGCTCCTGGACAGACAAGGTAGCAGCATCATGATCTAGAAGCATCAAGAAGCGGATAGCTTGCACTTGGGTAGAGAGAATGGTCCTGAGCTCCAGTGGAGTCTTGTCCATTTTAGACATGGCATCTGTACTTTTCCACAGTACACTGAAGGCACTTTTGGTAATTGATGTATAGTCATCAGCAGGCACCTGGGGAGGCTGGTTCTGTGAGAGCTCCTCATAGAGAAGACCAGCAAATCTCATGCAGGAATCGGACGGGCCCCCGGCAGCAGCACCCTTCAGCAAATGATAAAGCAGCCTTTCCAAATAGAGTGGAACATATTGGGACCTGGCTTTAACATAACCATCATAAGCCACCTCGGCTAAGGCGTGAAGGCTTTTTAAGTGAGCAGAGAAGTCTAACTTTGTCCCAAATCTGTGGATGCAAGCCCTCAGGATCTGATCGCACACCGTTGTTTGTTTGGCAGCTTGGCTTGAAGTTTGTGCATTTTTTGCTTCAGAGATGAGACATTCCTGAAATCAAGACAAGGCCTTAAATGTCAACAGGCAGGATTCCAAATATGTATACCTACACACTCCAAATGTTCATCATTCTCAACAGACTGGGATAATGAAAGTTAGGAGACCAGCACATATGGAGGGCACCCATTTTGGGAAGAACAGGCATACAGTATTATCTAAACTGTACAGTGCACTTTCCTTATTACAGTTGGGAGAAAACATGTGCATGAAAAAACTATGTTTAACAGAAACTTGCAATGTCCCACACCATCCCAGATTGTGCAGTTCCCCAATGACAACCACATTTCTTCTCCAATACAATTACCATATGTGGACCCATGCTAGCAAGCCACTAGCCCTCATATCATCTTAAACTAGACAATGCAAAATCCAACAGAAAATTTAGGAAACTTCTTTAGTGGAAGTAAAAGCTTTGGATGCAAAAAAATTAAGATGGCACGTGGCAGTTGTTCTGAAGCCACTACAACTTTAGCTAATGCCAAGTTAGTAGCCTCTATTGATGTCAGACTTGTATAACCTGGGCTTTTGACTATGTTTATTATTAATATGTGTATGTCTGGCATCAGAATGTAGAAAGCAGTCAACACTAACTTCTGTTTAAATTAATCCCCAGTCTTTTAGATGTAAATACTATTATTTCTTTATTATTTATTTACCATATTTGTACCTCGTCCTTCTGAACCCCGAGGGGGAATCAGAGCAGCCTTACATATCAGCAACTATTCAATGCCTTAAATAACATACAATTGGTAAATATCTACATTAAAAACCAGAAAATTAAAACACCAAAAAAACAATTACATCAATGATTAAAATCACATAATTAAAGTCATAATCCATGGCCATTCCAATTGTCATTGCACAAGTTCTACATTCATTTATTGCAAAATCTTGGAGAATAACTAACAATTAGTTATCAGAAAACTATTACTAGTTTGTCTAGATGCACATATCAGATACAAGTGTAATTAATTAGAAGTGCATGTCAATCGGGGAACAGGTGTGAGAAAATGCATGAAGTCCAGGAGCGCTTTGCTTATTAAAAGCCCTGACGAACTGCCTGAGAGAGTATTGTCGAAAACCTACAACAACCCAGTGCCTGAGAGAGCTTGACACAAACCAGAAGAGCCAGCAAGAGGCTGTGCATTAACACAAATCTGGGTTCCTCCACTGTATCTTCTCCAGGCTCTCAACAGCTGAATGGGGACAGGTGGAATTTGCTCCAAGTATTGACTGTATTTTAACATGTGTAAATGTTACCTGTCATTTTAAAAAAACCTGTCAAACCTTGAATCACCTGCTGTGTGTTGCCTCTCCACCCAAAAAACCCAGTTTCTTTGGACAGAATATTTTCCCACCCAGCTGATAGTACATCCCAATTTCAATCAGCATGGCCAAACATTAGTGACATGGCAACTATAAATCAACAGCATGAAGGAAGCATAGGATCCCCACTTCCGACCCTCAGGATATACCAAGCATTCATTTTCAGCAGGGCCACCTTTGCTGTTAGGCAGACAAACCAGCTGCCTTGGGCAGCAGATGTCAGGTGACAGCTCCAACGGAACTTCCGAGCTTTCCAGCTGTTCCTTGTTAACAGAGGGCAGAGTACTGCATGCCACATTGTTTGCCCTTGCTATCTAGACCAGTGATTCACAAATTGTTCCACAAAACCCTAAAATTCAATGAAAACATAGAGGTTCCTCTAAAAAACATATTTAATTTTTTAAGTCCATACCAGAGTATTCAGATCGTATTGAAATCCAATGAACCTCTGCTTAAAAAAAAATTTTAATCTCTTTATTTTCAAACATACAATAACAGCCAGGCAATAGGAGGTGACGGAAAGAAAAAATTGTGCATTCACAATCCTGAGAATTCCACAGGGGGGAGGGGGTGTCTTCTGAAGGGTTCCATGACCAAAACAGTTTGGGAACTACTGATCTAGACTAGCCTAGGTATGGAGGCAGCTACCATTCTCCATGTTACCAAGGAGAAGAGCCCCTGCCTTTTCTCAGGAGGCAATTTGCTCCTAGGACTACAGGTACCGTGTTCTCCTATCACTGCTAATATCCATTAAAAGGCCATTTTCCAGAACCACCCAGACTGGAGGGTATCAACTCATCTTGGAGGCTTACCTTCAACTCTGACAACAAAGCCAGAGATTCTTCAGGAGTACTGGTCCGTGCCACAAAATCTGCACCTTTAAGGTGCTCCATTTTGCATCCTACAGAAAAAGACATATAACTGATTAACCATCTATATACAGTACAGGCAGTCCCCAAGTTACAAGATAAGGTCTGTAGGTTTGTTCTTACGTTGAAACTGTATGCAAGTCAGAACAGGTACATTTTTAATGTGTAACTCCAGCCATATATATGTGTGTGTGCAAGCACATGCTTTGGATAGCATAGGGGTTAACACGCCTGTGGTATTTGTTGTGCTCTCTGTGCCCCTACTCAGAAGATTTCGCCTCATTTTCTGTCCCTGTGAGAATCGGCTTTTGTGAAATTTGGCTTGTTGTGGAAACAAGGATTGGTGATAAAGCTTCAGTGGAGACACCTTTTCCCCAGAGTAATTCTTCCAGGAGTGGTTTTTCCTTCCCAGGAGATTTCCCTCATTTCCTGTTGTCTCACCCCTGTTCTTAACTAGGAGTCATTTGTAAGTCAGATGCTTGTAATTTGTTGTTTGGGCTTGGCCTCATGTAAGCCGCTCCGAGTCCCCATCGGGGAGATGGTGGGCGGGGTATAAATAAAGTTTATTATTATGATTATAACTCAGGAACTGCCTATAAATATAGCCACATCTTACATTTTTCATGCTGCACTTGGAATTAGAATTAATAGCCAGAAGTGAAATCAGTCTACAAGTGACATATATGTGCTGCTAGTTCATACGAAGTATGAACACAACACAATCGCTCAACCCAACTCCTGTAGACCCTCATTTCTGACTACAGGCAAACACCTGGAGAGCCACTCACCCTGCCCAGTTTATAAACACATGCTCTTTCCCAACTGATACCTCATATCTCACTGAATTTCACAACAGTTCAACCTGACAAAATGAAAAGTGGCTTAATTATTTAAAAGCAGCCATACCGCTTTGCCCTTGTTCCTCAAAACTTCTTACAAGAGTGTAATTAAAAAACAAATGTTGGATTTAGGGCCCTTCCACACAGGCATATAACCCAGAATATCAAGACAGATAATTTATTTATTTATGACATTTATATGCTGCCCTTCTCACCCCGAAGGGGACTCAGAGCGGCTTACATACAATATATTATATGATTAGTTTTAAATATTTCAACATTGTACTATCCCAATTATACTGCAACATTATTAGTAATACCACATGTAATATAAATATATAATTATAATACCATATTATTATATTGCATTACATTATAATATTATAAATATTATATGTATATACAATATATTATATTATTAAAGTAGCACAGGAGACAAGGTGGAACAAGGTGAAGATAATCCGCAATATCTGCTTTGAACTTGGTTATCTGAGTCCACACTACTGTATAGTCCAGTTCTATGTGGATCTTATACAATATATTATATTATTAGTTTTAAATGTTGCTATATTGTACTATACCAATTATACAAAATTTTATGCAGATTTTGTTTTGTTAATCTTATGGTTTTTACTTTATATGTTGTGATTTTTACGTGGGAACCACTCTGAGTCCCCTTGGGGAGATAGAGCGGTATATAAATGAAGTTTTTATTATTATTATTATTATTATTATTATCATCATTATTTTTATTATACTGCAACATTATTAGTAATACCACATGTAATATAAATATATAACTATAATATCATATTATTATATTGCATTACATTATACTATTATAATTATATGTATATACAATATATTATATTATTAGAATAGCACAGGAGACAAGGTGGAAAAAGGTGGAGATATTCCGCAATATCTGCTTTGAACTTGGTTATCTGAGTCCACACTACTGTATAGTCCAGTTCTATGTGGATTTTATACAATATATTATATTATTAGTTTTAAATATTGCTATATTTTACTATAACAATTATACTGCAACATTATTAGTAATACCACATGTAATATAAGTATATAATTATAATATATTATTATATTGCATTACATTATAATATTATAATTATATGTATATATAAAAAAAGGTTTTCCCCTGACATTAAGTCCAGTCATGTCTGACTCTGGGGTGTGGTGCTCATCTCTATTTCTAAGCCAAAGAGCCAGCGTTGTCCGTAGACACCTCCAAGGTCATGTGGCCGGCATGACTGCATGGAGCGCCGTTACCTTCCCGCCGGAGCGGTACCTATTGATCTACTCACATTTGCATGTTTTCAAACTGCTAGGTTGAGCAGAAGCTAGGGCTGACAGCGGAAGCTCACGCCGCTCCCCGGAATCGAACCTGCGACCTTTCGATCAACAAGCTCAGCAGCTCAGTGCTTTAACCCACTGCGCCACCGGGGGCTATACAATATATTATATTATTAGAATAGCACAGGAGACAAGATGAAGATAATCCACAATATCTGCTTTGAACTTGGTTATCTGAGTCCACACTGCTGTATATTCCAGTTCTGTGTGGATTTTATACAGCTGTTCAGAAGGGGCCTTAGCTTCCTATAAAATCAGCATAATTTTTAAATGCTTTAGAAACTTCAATTTGCTGGCCCTTTTTATTTAATTAAAACAAATTATTACTTAAATTAAAAATTATTACTTATTTAAATAAATAAACAAATATAACTGTACTACACTAGGCAAGGGCAAAGTTGGGCCCTCTGGGAGTTTTGGACTTCAACTCCCATAATTCCTCACAGCCTCAGGCCCTTTCCTTTCCCCCCTCAGCCGCTTAAGTGCCAGAGGGGGAAAAGGAAAGGGCCTGAGGCTGTTAGGAATTGTGGGAGTTGAAGTCCAAAACTCCCAGAGGGCCCAACTTTGCCCAGGCCTGATGTACACTGTAGCTTGACAACATTTTAACCATCATGGCTGAGTGCGACTGAATCCTGTGACTTGTAGTTTTACAGTGTTTGTAGCCTTCTCTGCGAAACTACAACTCCCCCAGTCCAACTCAAAGCCAGGGCCCACCTCAGTCCTTACCTACCCGCTGGAAGGAAGCCTTTCCGCCCAACTGGCAAGTCAAGACCACACTGGAAACCAGGGCCCGAGCCGGCCCCGCGCCCTGTTCAAATCCTCGCCGAGGGCCAATCAGCGCCCGCCTCCGCGCCCCGCCTCCGCCCATTGCACTCTGGGAAATCCCACTGTAAACACTTTCTGGAGTCACAGCGTGCAGCATGAGTGAAGGAATGAATGGCACTTGGGCTGTCACCATTCGGTTCAATGCTGTGGAGTCCTGGGAGCTGTTTGTTGGCAGCCCTTTTAGAAGCTACTTACTTACTTACTTACTTACTTACTTACTCAGGCGATCCCTCGTAGTCCGAGGTTGATGGTCCTCTAAGTGTGTTGTTGTTGTTCATTCGTTCAGTCGTCTGCCGACTCTTCGTGACCTCATGGACCAGCCCACGCCAGAGCTCCCTGTCGGCCGTCACCACCCCCAGCTCCTTCAAGGTCAGTCCAGTCACTTCAAGGATGCCATCCATCCATCTTGCCCTTGGTCGGCCCCTCTTCCTTTTACCTTCCACTTTCCCCAGCATAAGTGTCTTCTCTAGGCTTTGCTGTCTCCTCATGATGTGGCCAAAGTACTTCAACTATGTCTCTACTATCCTTCCCTCCAATGAGCAGCCGGGGTTTATTTCCTGGAGGATGGACTGGTTGGATCTTCTCGCAGTCCAAGGCACTCTCAGAACTTTCCTCCAGCACCACAGCTCAAAAGCATCGATCTTCCTTCGCTCAGCCTTCCCTAAGGTCCAGCTCTCACATCCGTAGGTGACTACAGGGAATACCATGGCTTTGACTATGCGGATCTTTGTTGCCAGTCTGATGTCTCTACGCTTTACGATTTTATCGAGATTGGACATTGCTCTCCTCCCAAGAAGTAAACATCTTCTGATTTCCTGGCCACAGTCTGCATCTGCAGTAATCTTTGCACCTAGAAATACAAAGTCTGTCACGGCCTCCACGTTTTCTCCCTCTATTTCCAGTTGTCAATCATTCTTGTTGCCATAATCTTGGTTTTTTTTATGTTTAGCTGCAACCCAGCTTTTGCGCTTTCTTCTGTCACCTTGATTAGAAGGCTCCTCAGCTCCTCCTCGCTTTCGGCCATCAGAGTGGTGTCATCTGCATATCTGAGGTTGTTAATGTTTCTTCCAGCAATTTTCACCCCAGCTTTGCATTCATTCAAGCCCCGCACATCGCATGATGTGTTCTGCATACAAGTTAAAAAGGTTGGGTGAGAGGATGCAGCCTTGCCGTACGCCTTTCCCAATCTTGCACCAGTCTGTTGTTCCGTGGTCAGTTCTTACTGTTGCTACTTGGTCCTTGTACAGATTCCTCAGGAAAGAGACAAGGTGGCTTGGTAAGCCCATCCCACCAAGAACTTGCCACAATTTGTTATGATCCACACAGTCAAAGGCTTTAGAATAGTCAATGAAACAAAAATAGATGTTTTTCTGAAACTCCCTGCCTTTCTCCATTATCCAGCGGATATTGGCAATCTGGTCTCTCGTTCCTCTGCCTTTTCTAAACCCAGCTTGAACATCTGGCAACTCTCGCTCCATGTATTGCTGGAGTCTTCCTTGCAAGATCTTGAGCATTACCTTACTAGCATGAGAAATAAGGGCCACTGTACGGAAGTTTGAGCAGTCTTTCACATTTCCCTTTTTTGGTATGGTTATATAAGTTGATTTTTTCCAGTCTGATGGCCATTCTTGTGTTTTCCATATTTGCTGGCATATGGCATGCATCACCTTGACAGCATCATGGACCTCCAAGTGTAGTGGGTACGTAAGTGACTATGGAGCCCTATTCTTGATCTGCATCTTCTCCCGCAGTGAGGGCATCGGTTTCCAGGTGGAAGGTTGGTTTGACACACCTTCCTCTTGGCACGTTTCTCTCTTTCGCCCTTCATTCGCGCCTCTTCAAATTCTGCAGCACTGCTGGTCACAGCTGACCTCCAGGGCTTCCCAGTTCTCAGTGTCTATGTCAGAGTTTTAAGGTTGGCTTGCGCCCATCTTTAAATCTGGGTTGTTGTAGGTTTTTTCGGGCTATATGGCCATGTTCTAGAGCAGGGGTCCTCAAACTAGGGGCCGAATACGGCCCTCCAAGGTCATTTGTCCAGCCCTCGCTCAGGGTCAACCTAAGTCTGAAACGACTTGAAAGCACACAACAACAACAACAATCCTATCTCATCAGCCAAAAGCAGGCCCACATTTCTTTTCATCTTTAGTTTCTTTCATATTAGAGTATGTGCTGTGTGCTTTAAGATCTCTCTCTGCATTTGTGTCAAAGAGATGTAGTTGATTGGTGTTTTTCCCTCTTTGAAACCTTAGAAGAAATGGGTGTTAGAGTAGCTCAGACCCAATTATTTACCATTAAGAAATGCAGTTATTGTTTATTATCTATATCAGGGGTCCTCAAACTAAGGCCTGGGGGCAGGATGCGGCCCTCCAAGGTCATTTACCCGGCCCTCGCTCAGGGTCAACCCAAGTCTGAAAYGACTTGAAAGCACACAACAACAACAATCCTATCTCATCAGCCAAAAGCAGRCCCACACTTCCCATTGAAATACTAATAAGCTTATATTTATTAAAATTGTTCTTCATGTTAATTATTGTATTGTTTTAAAGTGGTTTTTTCTTCTTTTTGCACTAAAAATAAGATATGTGCAGTGTGCAGAGGAATTCATTCCTGTTTTTTCCAAATTATATTCTGGCACTCCAACAGTTTGATATACTGTGACCTGGYCCTCTGTTTAAAAAGTTTGTGGACCCCTGTTCTAGAGGCATTCTCTCCTGATGTTTCACCTGCATCTGTGGTAAGTATCCTCAGAGGTAATGAGGTCACTACCTCTAAGGATGCTTGCTGTAGTTGCAGGCGAAACGTCAGAGAGAATGCCTCTAGAATATGGCCATATAGCCCAAAAAACCCTAAAACCACCTAGTGATTCTGGCCATGAAAGTCTTCGACAATGCATCTTTAAATCTCTTTTCCTGTCAACCAACATTATGTTTCCCATTCTTGAGTTCGGAGTAGAGAACTGCTTCGGGAGACGGTGGTCAGGCATCCGAACAATGTGGCCGGTTCAGCGAAGTTGATGGTGGAGGACCATCGCTTCAGTGATGGTGGTCTTTGCTTCTTCCAGCACACTGACATTTGTCCGCTTGTCTTCCCAAGAGATTTGCAGGATTTTCTGGAAGCAGCGCTGATGGAATCGTTCTAGGAGTTGCAAGCTACATACAACCTCCCAGGATTCCACAGCATCGAGCCACAGCAGTTCAAAGGCAATGTTGAAAGTGCCTTCGTTCCACAGTGCAGACGCACCCTTCCTCACAGTGATGGGTCACACTTTAAATGATCATTTTGGGGTGAAGGATTGCGGTACATTGTCACTTAGAGTTTCTCTTCTGTACCCTTGGGATCCACTTACAGCGTGTCTACATTGGAGAAAGAGGTTGTCCTCTCTCTTTTAAAAAAACCTCCACAATTATGAGCTGCATAGATATGTAGTGTAGAAAAGTGCCCTTGTATTGACTGAAAGACGTGTCTGTTGAAGAGGAACAAAAGAAGCAACTTTCTCCTACACTACATACATACATACATACATACATTTAGTGATATCCTTTATCTGTAGTGTGTGCATGTGTGTGTGTATCTCCTCTATCTGTATGGAGATAGAATATATATATATATATATATATATATATATATATTCTATCGTATGTGATATATGGAATATTACAGAAAGAGGATATATATAGATTTATATATATATATACACACACATACTACTGATAGATAGATAGATAGATAGATAGATAGATAGATAGATAGATAGATAGAGGATATTTGTGTATGTGTGTATCCTTTCTCTGTAGTATAAATATCATCTATCTATCTATCTGTAGTGTGATTATCCATATATAATCTCTATCTGTATTGTGTGTATTATATATATATATATATATATATATATATCCTTTATCTATCTGTAGTGTGTGTGCATACATATATGCACACACACACACATATATATATATCCTCTAACTAGTGTGTGTGTATATATATTTACAATATTTATATACCCCCTTTCTCACCCCTGGGGGGACTCAAAGCAGTTAATATGTGTATGTGGTTTGCATATATATACTCTATGTGTAGTCTATCTATCCATCTATCTACCTATAATATGTGTGCATATATGTCCATATATAATATATATGGACATAAATAAACACACATAGTGTGTGTGTGTGTGTATCCTCTAACTATCTGTAATGTTTGCATATATATATGTTCATATATCTCCTCTATCTATCTGTAGTGTATATATGTATTTCCATATATATCCCCTATCTATAATAATAATAATTATATTTATTTATACCCTGCTTTATCTCTCCAAAGGGGATTCAAAGCGACTTGATATAAAAGTATTCACATACTATTTAAAATATACAAATATACAAACATTAAAAAAAATTAAAATCATAGCTAAACCATTAAAACATATTCAAAGTTAAAAACCACAGCATCCCCTAAATTGATCTTTAAAAACCTTTTTTAAAAGCCTGTCTGAATAAAAAGATTTTAGCCTGCCGCAGGACAGACAGCAGGGAGGGGGCTATCTATCTATCTATTGTGTGTGTGTTTGTGTGTGTATGTATACATACATGCACACACATATAGGGATCTATCTATCTATCTATCTATCTATCTATCTATCTATCTATCTATCTATCTATCTATCCATTCTCGGCTCTTATTTAAGATGCTATGTTATTTACCACAGACAACAGCAGTTTCCCCTCAACTTCATAATTAGTGTGGGGGAGGGAATTAGTGTCTCGTGAACACATGACATCATCCTTGACAGCCATGTTTTGAAACCGAGCCAGAATCCTGACAGGAATTCTACGGAGCCAGTTGAACTCATAGAAACCGCCGCGGCGACAGCAGTGTGTATGTGCAGCTGGCCGGCCAGCCGGCCTGCCTGCCTGCCTCCTCTCCTGGCTCCTTCCCTATGGCAGCACCATGGCTGCCTGTGTTTGCAAGCCTCAGCAGCCCATCACACATGTCATTTTCGACCTGGATGGCACCCTTTTGAACACCGAGACCCTATACACAGCGGTGCTGGAAGAACTCTGCAGTCGCCATGGGAAGAAATTCACTTGGGAGCAGAAAGAGGTCATCATGGGCAGAAGAGAACTGGAGGGCCTGGACATCCTTCGGAAGATCCTTGACATCCCCTTGACAGCTGAGCAAATGATTCAGGAAGCGGAAAAGAAGAAGAAAGAATTGTTTCCCAAGGCTCAGCTCATGCCTGGAGCCGAAAGGCTGGTCCGCCATCTACACCGGCATAAGATCCCCATTGCAGTGGCTTCCAGCTCCCTCCGAGAGCCATACGAATTGAAAACCGCACATCTCAAGGCCCTTTTTGGCTTATTCCATCACATCACATTGGGTGACGACCCTGAAGTGAAAAATGGGAAGCCGCACCCAGATATTTTCCTGATTTGTGCCAAAAGATTTGACCCTCCGGCGTCTCCGACCAAGTGCCTCGTGTTTGAAGACGCTCCCAATGGAGTCAAAGCTGCGAAAGAGGCCGGGATGCAAGTGATCATGGTCCCCGATGAAAACCTGAAGAAAGAGCTCACTAAAGAAGCTACTTTGGTCCTCCAATCTATGAAGGACTTCAAGCCGGAAACATTTGGCCTACCAAAATTTGACTGAGAGGGGTTCGTGCCTCTTTTTGTCGAACTCTTCTTGAGTTCTCATCAGCAGCTGTCCAAAGTATTCAGAGCCCCTCTTGTAATAACATGCTCGGTTTCAGTTTGACAAGTTTGTATAGTAGCTCTTCTGTTCAAATCAACCTGGCTACTAGATGGAAAAGTGGGCTTTGGATGTCCCTTTGGTGGGGATCAAATGTGAATGTTTTACGGTTACCCTATAAGAAGATAAAACATGGTTGTGACACACTGAGTAGTTAGTCACAGCTGAGAGCACACTCACTGAACATGTGGGATTCATTAAGGGTTTACTTACTGAGTAAGTAAGTGATTTAATAGATCTCATTGAAGACTTAACAGTTGGCTTTGGCCCATTTTATTATAGTCTTCAGAAATATAAGTCATCAATGCAGCTCTTCCCGTACACCATTTGCTTATTTATGTTTTCACAGCCTGCTAGGGCTCTAGAAGTAAAAAAGTAATAGATTAAATTTGAGGAAAATAACAATTTTTAAAAGCAAAGACAAAACAATCCTAGCCACCAATTCTGGTTTTAAGGACACAAAGGGCCCTTCTACACAACCATATAACCCAGAATATCAAGGGAGATAATGCTCAATATCTGCTTTGTACTGGAATATCTGAGTCCACACTGCCAGATAATTCAGTTCGATGTGGATTAAGATGATCCAGTTCAAATCAGATGATGTGGATTTTCTGCTCTGATGACCTGGATTATCTGACAATGTAGAAGGGCCCTTAGGAACCTCCAGCAGAGCCCTATATTAAGGCAGGAAATCCTACATTATCTGAGTGTGGATTCAGATAACCCAGTTCAAAGCAGATATTGTGGGATTTCCTGCCTTTATATTCTGGGACACAGGGCTGTGTGGAAGGGCCCTGAGATGTAATGGAACCTGTTCCTAAATGGTTTCTAGGCTTTGGCTCCTTTAAAGGTAGCCAAAGCCTAGAAATGATGCACCGACCCACTGGCATTGGAGTCAACAGCTGTGAATGCTTTTGGAAGCATAGGGCCCTTCCACACATCTATATAACCCAGAATATTAAGGCAGATAATCCACAATATCTGCTTTGAACTGGGTTATCTGAGTCTCCACTGCCCTATAATCCAGTTCAATGTGGATGTTATACAGCTGTGTGGAAGAGCATATAGAAAGCCTCGATTTATCAAACTGCTGCAAAACTGATTTAAAACACAGAAATGTTGAATACCTTGAATTGGGATAAGGCTACATTTTGAAAGAGGAGGAGCAGGATGTGCAGTTTGGTAGATCAGCCTCACCTCCTTATGGGGATGCTGCTTGTGCAATCCATAACTTTAAATATTTCCCTGGAAATAAACTCAACTTGATTTAAATGTGTATTACACTCCCACTAAAAACAAGGTGATTGGTGTGTGACAGGAGAGAAAGTCCATTGATATTTTTTGAAGAATATGTCCATTTCACAGTCTTGCAGTCTGCTCATATATGAAATAATCCTACACATATTTATAAGTTCCACTTAATTCAATTGGGGATCACTTCTGCATTGACAGATATAGGAGGGGAGTCGACTAGTTTGAAGTCAGATGTGAGGGAATTGTAGTTTCTGGGATTTATAGTTCACCTACAATCAAAGAGCATTCTGAACTCCACCGACGATGGAATTGAACCAAACTTGGCACACAAAACTCCCATGAGCAACATAACATACTGGAGGGAGCAATGCCCACCAATGCTTTGGTGGGCGCTGTCCTTGAGTTTTGGTGTTGTAGTTCACCTACATCCAGAGAGCACTGTAGACTCAAACAATGATGGATCTCAACCAAACTTGGCGTGAATATTCAATATGCCCATATGTGAACACTGGCGGAGTTTGGAGGAAATAGAGCTTGACATTTGGGAGTTGTAGTTGCTGGGATTTATAGTTCACCTATAATCAAAGATAATTTTGAACTTCACCACCGATAGAAATAGGCCAAACTACCCACACAGAACCCCCATGACCAACAGAAAATACTGTGTTTTCTGGGGGTCTTTGGTGATCCTTCTGACACCCCCTCATGATCCCCAGGTTGGGAATCACTGCTTTAGGAAATCAATTGCCCTGTCCAGCATTCAGGAGGGCAACAGGACCTGTGAGCATAGTGTGTTAGTATCTGGGCTGGAGGGATTGCCAGGCAGCTGCTGTACTTTCAGTTTTGCCTTGATGTGTAGAAGACTTCTACTCCAGCTCTACTTTAAGGAGGGAAGAAGAAAACATGTTTTCTTTCATTTTACTGTAGAATTCATGAATATAGACCAGGAAAGCTTCATTTCAAGAAGAGCTATCTTGTTTTATTATATTTGGAGGGATTTAGGGTGTGTGCGGGGAACCTTAAGGTGATTCTTAACTTTTTGATGAGAGGAAGAATATTTTTAGTTGTGTAAACTGGCAAGGAAGTTAGGAAAGAGTGTTTCTAAAAAGAGAAGTGCAGGGGATAGAGGATGGATGGAACTATTACTCCTGTAAGCCCATATATTTAATATGGTTTGGGTGTGAATTGTTGCTCTTGTTAATCGGAAATTATGGTTTCAAACAATTAAAGAAGCATTTCTACACACTTAAGAAACTGCCACTGATGGTGCCCTTCACATGACGTAAGTTTAGAATGTGGGGCAGAGGTATTTTCCTGCTTCTAAAGTGTGGGTTTTCCCCACGATTCCCGATTCGATTGCCAAGTGACTGATTCCTCAATTCCTCACATACACAGTATTTTCTGTTGGTCATGGGGTTTCTGTGTGGGAAGTTTGGCCCATTTCTATCGGTGCTGGGGTTCAAAATTATCTTTGATTGTAGATGAACTATAAATCCTAGCAAGGCAGCAAAATGTCCTATTTTGCCCCCTTTGCCCACTTATAAATAAAATGTGGAGGGAGGAGCCAAGATGGGCAGAATCTATTCTTTTCTGCTGCCCTCACCGTTTTGGGACTGAGGAGGTATAGCAAACAAAATATTCAAAACATTCAGGAGAAAATAGCAAGCGTGCAAGCCCTGCGCTTCCCTATGTTGGGTCATAAAAGTCCTTTTGAACTCTTACCTGAATCTCCTGTTGTGCTTTTGCCTAGACAGCAGAGATAGATTTAGGAGAGCTAAAGTTTCATTTCCCCCCTCCCTCCTGTAAGAATGCAAAATAACCCCTCTATATATGTTGTTGTTTTTCAAGCTGTAAGTTGAATACCCAGAGAAAAAGAGAAGTTTAAAAAAAGAAAAGAAAATGGGCGAGGGACAGTGGGGGAAACAAGTATTTATTGTGTGATGGCAAATCAAATACATGTGAAAGCAGAGAGAAGGATTAGGTGTGATGGAAGTAAGAAAATCTTTCATTTAATTTCAACATTGAGTTTTGCTGGAGCTTTATGGAAAACCTACTCTCCCGAACACTTGACCTGTTCTGTGGAATGAAGTCCTCAGTCACAGGACACTCCAAAAGATTCCAAGGCCTAAAATTCACCTAGATCTCTTCTGAAGATGGGATAACTACTAGATCCATGTATCTTGATATTGCCTGTCTTTGCCTCTGATAAATCTTACAAGATTTTAACACTCAACATTTGTAGGGAAGTAAATTTTCATAAATGCCTATTTTGTTCTATTAATCATCCATCTTTATTATTTATTATTATTATTATTATTATTATTATTATTATTATTATTATTATTTACTGTATTTATACCCCGCTCTTCTCAACCCCGAAGGGGATTCAGAGTGGCTTACAGATTATGGCAACGTTCAATGCTGCATCATACAACAAATAATAAATATATCAAATTATAAAACAATTAAAATATATGAATGAAATAAGTGCAACAACAAATAATATAACATATCAAATTATAAAACAATTAAAACATATAAATGCAATAAAACATATTAAAACATAGTTTTAACAGAGAAGTTCCAACAGGGGAAGAATGGGATGGCAGTGTTCACTCAAGAAGAGGGCTCAGGTGAATCCAGGACCATGGCTGGAAGAAACAAATGTTGGTATCTCTGTGCTGACCCAAGGATGCTGAAATGGAGGCCAGTCAAGATAGAGTCTGGCAGCACCAAGACCAGAAGCTGAGGGAGTCCCTAGAAGCTGAGGTAGCAAAGGAAACAAACACTGCCCCTTCCCTCAAAGCTCCTGGTGATGGTCCTTCACTTCTTGCTTCGTCCTGAGGCCCTGCAGGTGTGGTTCTTTTTACGCCCCAGTCTCAGAGGCAAGCAGGTGTTGTTGCTGGCCTTGAACTGAAACGTCAGGGCCTCAGTTCTGCCAGGAGTGAGTCCACAGGAGCTGAGCCAGAGGCAACAGGAGAAACAAGCACTGCCCCTTCCCTCAAAGCCCCTGGTGATGGTACCTTCACTTCTTGCTTCAGCCTCATCTTTCTCCCAATGTGAAGGCTTGCAAGAAGCTAACAACAGTTTCCTCTCTGTAGTGAACTCCCACGACTTCTGCACAGAAACAATCTAGAGTAGTAGTGATACCTTGAAAGCCAAATGATCACACCTCCTCCAATTAGTGGCTTTCCGAACCTTTCTAGAGTGGTGTCTCCTAACATTTACATTTTTCGTTTTCTCTTCTTTAAGAGTTGCAACAGGCTTTGTAGTTCTGAGCTCTATGCCCACTCAAACCATTCATTTTGGACACAGGCAAATTACGTCCTTCTCAGACTGTTTGGGTTTTAAGTCTTCCTCCTATGCCAAGAATGGTTGGGAATCAGATTAATTCATTAGCCTGCCATTACTAGTCATTTTATTGCTGATTTTATCTCCACTTTGGAGTCTGGCACAGGAAACATTATCAGACTACATCTAGATGCCATCCAAGAGAAGGCTTTCAACAAGCCCAGTTGTAACAAATGGTTCTGAAGGCAGCATCTTGTTCTCTTTTATTTTATGTGATATGGAGCATAGAGTTGTGTAATTTGAACATGCAATATCCTTATTCTTTGAATACACAATATACTCAGCATGTCATGGCTAGAAAGCATGCTACATACCACACTGTTCCTCCCAGCAGAAAGTCAGGTACATAATGTGGAAACCTTCTGAAGCAACATATTTTTCAATTTAGTTAGATGTTAAATGTTGAAAAGTCCTACTGCAGTGTCATCACAGTGGACATGACAATCCAAAATTCCTTTCTTCCTTCTTTTTGAAACCAGAATTAGCTTCACTTACTGTAGATTTCAGCTTACCTTTCACGTTATCCTATCAGTCCTAATAGGCTCCAGAAGCCATTGATTCACAGGAAGTATGATTGTTTGACCTTTACATTGACCCAAGCAGACTTTTAATGTGCTACTGACGAAATGGAAAAATACAGCTTCAAATCAATGTTGCACTAATAACAGCAGCCAAGCAAGATAATGGGAATTTTAGGTGAAACTGAAACCTTGTTGAGTATGGTGAAATCATAGAAGCTAAATGGTAATAGAAGTGCAACAGGATGGCTTGATTTCTTAGTTTGCCCACCTTGAAGTTTTGGCTTTGTGGTACTTTATTTACCAAGTTTTTCTTTACCCTGTTGTCATATCATGACAACTAACTCATGTGGCAAACCACTGCAGCCTATCATGACACACTTATCTTGTGAGGACTTGTAAAACAGGAAGGTTTACAAATTGCAACATGGATACTCGACTCTGCTTGACTCAAAATGATACATCGGGTTCAAACAGATGCATCCATCAACTTTCTCCCAGTTCTCTTCCCTCACTGACATTGCACAAACACAACACAAAGACAAACAACTTCATACTGAGTCAGAGATCCCTGGCGTCAGCTAGGAATGGGTGGGGATGAGTACCAAAATTTCAAAGTTATCCCACATACAAAAATCAAATTTTCACATCTTTCACAGCCACTTGTTTCCATATCTGGACACCCAGAAAGATACAGTTTCCTGATATTTCTTTGGGAATGCTGATATCCATCCTCGATAGGGGTGGTTGGGATTGTGGTACAGGGTATATAACATTAGTTTCTTATTCAGTCATGGAAACTGAATTGTACTGTTAATGTTCATGCAAATTGAGAATTGAGGTCTAGTGACCATCTTCTGGCATATTCCACCTGTTGTCTGAAGCAAAGAACAAGAGGGAACTTCCTTCAGTTCCATTTACAAAATCTGACTGGACAGCAGTTGAATCTTCGATCTTGGAATCTGACATTTTGCATTACTATAAGGTACCTTCAGGGATGGAGATGAAACCTCAGCACTCTGCTCCAATAACTTACTGCTGCCTCACAGAATATGGTGCTAGATGCAACAGCCTAATGGTAGCAATTGCACTGTGTAGGGGCTGCCTTGCTAATTAGTTCTAGGCCAAAAGGCTGGTATACTGTGTTGTGTATGAATGAGGACCTAGTCTTCCAGAAGGACTTGGATCATATTTGCAAGATAAGACTTCTACCACAAGATACCTTCCACATGCCCTAACATGTGAGTTGTTATATCATTGTGCATTGGGACAAGACCAACCTTATTTCTAACACAGGATAGTGATGTGTGGGTGTTAAGAATTCTCCAGAGCATTTGCCACCAGCAGTAATACAGACTAAGCATTCAGGTTTGTCAAGTATTGCTGCTTTCACAGATTTTTCCCTGTAATACAGTGATACTAAATGAACAGACATATTTCCAAGACAAGCAGTAGAGTTTGACAAGTTACAACTGCAGAGACACAAGATGTGTGAAGGTGCGGTGTAGGGCAAGGCAGGGAGTGTGAAATTGGCCCCTCCTAGCTTGATGAAGTTGCCCATCAGTAAAGTTGCAGTTGTGGATTTCTAGAATCAGTAGAGGATTTGACTATATGTTGGCCTTCCGATGTCTACGACCTGAAAGCTCCGTATTGTTCAGAATGCGGCAACCAGGCTACTCACAAGAACACCCATGAAATGCCATATAACACCAGTGTTGCGGCATTTGCATTGGCTTCCAACTGATTACCGTGGTCTATATAAGATGCTAGTTCTGACCTTTAAAATTCTTGACAGCCAGGGTCCATTGTATCTTAGGGACCGTCTCTCATTCTCCCATCATTGGAGGTCGCAACGACCATCCCAACGTGACTTACTTTATATACCGGGTCCTAGAGAAGTGCACTTGGAAAGGACCAGACGCAGAACTTTTTCTATTTCTGCCCCTGCCTTATGGAATTCCTTGCCGCCCTATGAGAGCCATGCGTGAGTTAGGGCCTTTTACCCTAGCACTTAAGACCTGGCTTTTTACTAGAGCGTTTGATCTATGTTAATTTTATATCTGTATGTATGTATTTTTTATCCTTTACAATTTAACTTGTAAATCGCCTAGAGCATCTTGGATGGAGGGCGATTAATAAGTAATTAAATGATGATGATGACTAGATGAGTTTTGAGATCCTTCCAAATCTATTGTTCCCACAAACAGACATGCTAGATTACAAACCCAGATGTACTGCAAAGGGTAATGTGTTCCTACTGCTTGCTTTTTTTTAAAAAAAAACAAAACCCCTTCAATTCTTAGCATTTCTAGTTTGTGACTTTGTTTAGAACATTTTATTTTGCTTTTCCAATTCAAAAGGGTTAACAATCCCAGTACCAAAGGGATATTATTATTTTTTTTGCTCTTCTATACAAATCACGTGGCAGACAACCAATGATCCTCCAGATATTGCTGGAAATACATCTCCAATAACCACATGTTATGCTGTTTAGGCCTGATGGGATATGAAGTTTAACAACATTTGGAGGGCCACAAGTTGCCACTCCTGCTGTACCTGGAACCAAATGTTATACAAGAAGGAACACCTTGGTAACATGGAATTAGAAGCAATAGATATTCTTATTCACAGCAATACTCTTATAAACAGATGCCTAGCATAAGTGCAGAGCTAAAATACAGACTGCAAAAATCCTGATACTTCGCATTCCAGGGACATAGAAAACTGATGTTTGAACCTCAAGAGTCAACATATCACAGGTGTGAAATAATTGCCAAGGTAAGGTCAAAATCTCCAAAATCAACACCAAGTCAGGAGAGAAGTGTTACATGTACATTTTTTATTGTAAAAGAACAGGAGGTTCAATAATATAGAATTTGGTTGAGATGGCAAAATATTGAAATGGATGATCAATTAATCAACCTTCCTGTTCAGTTTTAAAAAGAGGGATGTCTTTTTTTATATAACCCATTACCTGCCACCATCTATCCATGATGAAGTGGTAGAAAGCAGTCCCCCTCCCCAAGTTTTGCTAGCAGAGGTCAAGACGTTTCAAAAAGTCCGTAACTCCAGGTTGCAAAAGGAAAAATATGCTTGCCACAGACTAAATTAAGTTGATGTGTGCTGTCTGTATTCTTCATTGCCATTCATGGGCAAGAGTCACACAAGGCTCAGCAGAGGCTCAGAGTTCTCTTTGCAGAGTCCTTTCCTATATACAGTTTCAGTGCTATGATGTGTTATGGACAGCTTACTAGGGCACACCTCCCGCAAAAGTTCACAACACATCAGAGCTCAGGAGAAGGGTTCTCAGTATGACCGGATGGACTGGGCAACCGGAGCTCTGTGTTGTTACGGACCACAGTGAAGAGGCTTACAACAGCCAAAAGGGCCATCACCATCATGACAGAGCAGATGGTGAACATATTCCGGGTGCCTGTTTTATAGTCACTGTCATGGAGAATTAGCAAGCCCAGGCAGGCCAACAGATTCAGGGGAACACGGAACCAGTGCATCACGCCTGCCTGGTCCTTCTCGGGGATCACCTTCTGCCGGAGAAATCCCATTGAAGGGAAGTAGAGTCCACAGGAGAGCTCAATGAGCAGAAAGGCCAAGAATGATTCCGAAGGGCTCTCTTGCCCGGGATTGGTAGAAAAAGTCAACATGAAGAGGGAGAAGAAAACCATCAGGACTGAAAGGGAAAGAATGTGCATGGGCTGCAAGTGATACTTCTTGGAGGTTGCAATGCGGTAGAGTGATGAGCCCACCATGCTGGCTGCCATGAAGCTGGAGAAGACGATGCCCAGGGGTGGGTTGTAGGGATCCAGGACAGGCGTCCAGAGGAAGATAAAGATGTAGATGACACTTTCAAATAAGGCCTGGATGGTCCCCAGGAGCAGGACGCGGCGGTCAGAGAGGAGGCACTTCAAGCCATCTGTGCAAGTCCTGGACAATGGCCTCTTCTTGCCATAATTTTCATCCCAGTTCTTTATAGCCAGAACTCCAACCAGCATGAGGAAAGGAATGGAGACCATGAAGGGAGCCACGGGACCCAAGCCCAGCCATTCAGCAAAGACATTGGCTACCACCCCAGCTCCAATAGCAATGACGCTATTCCAGAAGGCCGCCTTGGAAAAAGTGGCAGGGATCCACTCGGCTGGGAAGTCGTAGCGCTCCACATGTTCGTGCACATACCATGCCTCAAAGGCAGAGAACAATAGGGCAGTGGAAAGGCCACCTAATATCCTTCCAACAACAAGCACAAAATAGTCCCAGGAGAGTTTAGTGAGGCAGCAAATGGAATAAGTCAAGGAGAAAAGGATGCAGGATTTTTTGCGGCCTAAGCGGTCCACCAAGGAAGTCGAGACCAGCCCAAACAACACACTTGAGGCAAAGCCACAGACATAAATGATGGCAATCTGAGCCTCCAAGAAATGGTAATGTTGGTACAGTTTGTAAAGATATGGACCTTGTAACCAGTCAGCTGCAAGAGCCAAGAAGTAGACCTGGTAATAGTCTAGTTGGAAACGCAGAAAGGCTGGGTTGGAGCAAGACCTGCCCGTGAGCTTGGAGCGGCAGGCAGAGAACTCCAAGCTGATGCATATCACCAGGAGGAAAGCAAAAGCGACATAGGCAGCAATCAGCATGGTGCTTCAAATCATCATGTGCGTCGCCCGAGATCAACTCTCAATGTACCTGAAAGAGATAAGCATATCAGACATGGAAGAGACTTTCACAAATCTTGGGGGCACTCTTATTCCCAAAGGTTTTCCCTGGCCCCTTAATACATGCTCTTGTGCATAGTTGCTTCAGGAACCCTGATAAAGATCTAATTCTGAAAACAAGAAACAAATTCAGTAAAGATTTATTACAGACTTTCTGTCTGATCACCCGTAACAAGTAAGAACCACATCCAGGTGAACAGAAAGAAAATATTTTAAAAATTGGAAGTGAGCAGAATCATTCTTCTTTGATGGCATGATGCTCCACATATTTATAGTGTATTTGTATTAACAGGACTACCTCACGTAATGATGAGATGTTGGTTTCTTTAACAGAAACTTTGACATCAGAGGCAAAAGTAACATGGAAAGAAGGGGGTATGTTCCTATATAAAAAAAGAGCAATTCAGTTGTTGTGTACTCTCAAGCTTTTTCTGACCCAAAACAATCCTAAGGTAAACCTATCACAGGGGTTTCTTAGCAAGATGTGTTCAAAAGAGGTTTGCAACTGTCATTTTCTGAGACTAAGAGACTGTGATTTTCCAATGGCAAGTGACAAATGCAGGAATTCAAAGTGTGGTCTTGAGAGGCATAGTCCAATATTCAAACTAATATATCACACTAGCTCTCAGTTCAATATAGTTCAGCAAACCTTTTTATTCAAAACTAACAAAATGAAAAGAGAAAAGGTCAGGTAAGTCAGCAAGAATATTTTGAAACTTCTAAAGACTTGAACGCTTCCTCCAAAATGCACCAAGGCCAAGTTTATAGATTTATATTATTTTTAAACAAAGGCTGATGTAACTGATAAGACAGGCTTACTTGCTCTCCCTTTCCCCCTCTGTTTTGATACTCATGCATTCTCAGTAAAGGCTTCTGGAAACAGCTGCTATATACCTGCCTGTTGTGGGGAGGCAAAAAGAGCTACAATCCAATCCATTACAATAAAATCCAATTTTCCCCACCTTAAACTTTATTGCATTGTTTGTTGCAGACATAGTGAAAGTATGTTTTACCTTCATCTTCCACCAGATTCCCAATGCTGATGTGGTTCAAAAAACATCTTGGAAAGTTTTAAGTATGGCTTTTTAGCATGTACTAGAACAACAAAAAGTCAAATGCAAAGGCAAGCATGTGGAGAATAAAAGTAAATGGCTGCAGGAGAATACTGATGAAGTAAGCAAGAGGATACTGCGGTTGGCAGTAATCACAGAACCATTGCATCGCTTTACCATACAGGTAAAGAGATGCTTAAAATCCTAGAGCAATGGTTCTTACCACATATGGACTGAGAAATCCCTGGCATCCAAGATGGGTTCAAGGAAGAGGCACTAGGGATTACAATTGTGAGCATATTCTGGATAATGGAATGTACCAAGGAATTTCAAAAGAAAAGACAACTGTGCTTTATCGACTATACCAAAGCCTTTGATTATACAGATCACAAAAGGATCTTAAAACAATTGGAGTTCCACAACACTTGATTGTCTTAATGTGTAACCTGTACGCAGGATAAGAGGCTACTGTTAGGACATAACATGGAGAAATGAAATTGTTTCCAATTGGCAAGAGAGACAGGCAAGGCCGCACATTATCACCCTCTCTGTTTAACTTGTATGTTGAAAATATCAGGGTTAAGATCTGCAGGAAAGAGGCATGAAAAATGGAGGAAACAACTTCAATACTCTAAGACAGGCTTGAACAACCTGCAGCCCTGCAAATGTTTGAGCTTCCAACTCCCAGAAACCCTAGCCGCTTGTCCATTGGCCAGAAATTCTGGAAGTTGAAGTCCAAAACAGCAGACCTGCTCTAAGATATACAGATGACACCACAACACTAGCAAAAACTAGCAAAATCTTGAAATGTTGAATAAAGCTAAGACAAACATTGAAAAGACATTAAGAAAACCAAATAAAAAATGAACACTGATAATTTACAAGACTTCAGTGGAGAAGATGAAGACACTGAAATAGTTTAAGATTTTCCAAACCTTGGCTCAGCAATTAATTAGAATGAACACTCCAGATAAAAAAATCAGAGGAGGCCTAAGAAAGGTAGCTAGAAAGGACTAGAAAGTTCCTAAAGTGTAAAGATCCTGCATGCTAAAGGTAGAACGGTACGTGCCATTGCATTTCCAATTTCCAAGCTGGACAGTTAAGGAAGCTAATAGAAAGAAAATTAACTCATTAAAGATTGTGCTGTTGGAGAAGAATTGTGAGGATACTATGGACTGGTAAAAATAAATGAGTCCTAGAGCATGTCAGGACTGAACTCTTCCTAGAAATCAACATGACAAAACTGAGAACATGGCATAAGATATGGTTTTAATGAGAGGGCAATAACAAAAATGGAAGATTGAATTCCAGAAAGATACTTAGAGAAGCCATGGATCTCAATCTGCAATATGTAAGTAGGGCAATTGATATGTTTTGTGTATGTGTGTGTCAGGAGCAACTTGAGAAACTGCAAGTCACTTCTGGTGTGAGAGAACTGGTCGTCTGCAAGGAAGTTGCCCAGGGGACACCTGGATGTTTTACCATCCTGTGGGAGGCTTCTCTCATGTCCCCGCATCAGCTCCAATTGTTTTTAAGTACAGGCCAAGGTCTTTAGGCACTGCACCCAGTGTGCCAATCATGACTGGGACCACCTTGACTGGCTTGTGCCAGTCTTTGCAGTTTGATCTTTAAATTCTCGTACTGTTTCAGCTTTTCCAGTTGTTTCTCTTCAATCCTGCTATTATTATTATTATTATTATTATTATTATTATTATTATTATTATTACTATTATTATTATTATTATTATTATTACAAAGGCTGTATGGCATCTGGGGTGCTTAAACTGTGCTTTTCCTGTATGCTATAATACAATATATAAACATTTCTTGGGTCTCCCTGAGTGACGTTTGCTTCAAAAAGAGCTCCATGGCTGAAAAAAAAATTGAGAACCCTGGTCCAGGAGACACTGTCACTGTCACATGCCTTCATTCTTTTCTGACTATCACAGAGCCTTCTTGGTAAGAATTGTTCAGAGGGGGTTTGCCACAGTGTTTCCCAGGCTAACATGGCGTGACTTGCCCCCAAGGTGACCCAGAGGTTTTTCTGTTACTGAGTGGGGATTAAAATGCTTGTCTCCCAAAGTCCCAGTCAAGCACTCAAATCTTTGCACCTTCACACTGGCTCCCACAACACACCGGTTCTCTTCGAGTCTGGAGAGGATGGAAGGAAATTGGCAGAAGGCAAAGAGAAAGGTCAAGGTACTGTGGAAATCTAGCGGTTACTAGAGGATGTTAGGTTTAAGTATTTCTTGTACTGTTCTACTACATGAGAACTGAAAAACCAGATCTACCAGCTGGACTAGTCATGTTTCTTCCACTACCACTTTAGGAAGAATCAATAGCAGTATTTTTTGGATAGCAATGATATCTCTTAAGGACATTTTTGAGCCTACAGTTATAATGTCTCTACTGCCAGGAAGAAAAACTATTATGAAAAAACAATTACTGTAGTTAAAAAAACAAAAATTCACATTCAGCAATCCTGAATAACAGTTTCCTCACAATCCTTCTTTCACCTTGAATGTTCAGTTTTTGGCCCTCACATGTACTTGCGTCAGACCCTTTCCTAATCAACACCCAAGCTAAATTACATAAAAATATTTATGAGGAAAATCAGAAAGTTAAAATTGTTCCCACACACGTGATTGCCGTTTTCCATCAATCACGTGTCAAAATCAGTTCTAACAAATTCCTGCAAATGATTTCTTACAAATCAAACTTATCATATTCAAGTTTTAAAGCAACACTGAACTCTTTATCAGTTTTATGAGCCACTAGGCAACTGGGCAACAACAGCTTAAACATATATAAAGTGACAAATCTGTTGACCTTGGACAGAAGTATTTTGGTTTTTCTTCCTCAGTTCTAAAACATGAATAGTCACCTAGCTTATATGAATGCAAAGAAGCTGAAGATGAGGGCTTTTCCCTTTTGTGACCATTAAAAAGCATCCTTTACAGCTAAGAAAGCCTAAAGCCTGGTTTTTACAATGATCTTATGGGAATACATAAACGTTTAGGTAAATGAATTAATGAAATATCCTAAGTTCCTCAGCTTTTTAGGAAACCATTTCTAATTTTTAAAAGCACACATTGCTTGCGAAACACACCTGACAGAACAACGACAGAACAGGTAATTCCAAGGCATGTACCTGAAAGCAGAACATAAATCACGCCAACCAAGTTTCTCTCCTCCCCCCACCCCTTTCCCCATCTTCCCTTCCTCAGACACACACCTGAGTGTGCAAAGCTGCCTAGGTGCCAAACCAAAGGGATCCAAATGGAGGAAACGGTGGGGGGAACTATTTTCTGCTTCGTATGTACCCATTAAAACAATGACCGCCTTAATCAGAAGTCCTCCATATGAGACACCTTCCACATAGCTGTATAAAATCGACATTGAACTGGATAATATGGTAGTGTGGACTCAGACAACCTAGTTCAAAGCAGATATTGTGGATTATTTGCCTTGATATTCTGGGTTATATGGCTGTGTGGAAGGACCCTGAGAGGCAGATTAGAGTACTACTGTTGGCTACTCCCAACTACAACTGACACATTAATTCAGTTGTTGTGAAGGGACCCAACACATATGAGCATCCAACCAGCACAATGGTCTTATATCCCAGGCAAGTTTGGACTTCAGTTCCCAGAATTTCTGACAGTTGGTCTGGAGGACCTATGGGAAAGTCAGGCACACAATGTCTAGGCATCCCCTCTCGAGTTGCATTGGTGTTTGCCCTCTGGAATTAATGCAACACGGTCTTCCCAAACTGCAATCCCCATTTCTTGAAGATTCAGGGTGCATCTATGCTATGGAATTAATGTAGTTTTCATTTTTTTTTCCAATTTTAATAATTTTATTGAGTGAAATTAATGGGATACAAAATACAAAAAGGAGAAACATCTATAGATAGTCAAATATATGTAATACAGGCATGCAATTCCCCCAAACAGATTGTTCTTTTTCACCTTTCCATGATCTCGCGAGTGTCAGTCCAGCTACCACAAAACTTTATTGGGAATTAATGCAGTTTTGAGACCAGGGCTCAATTCGATGGAAGCATGGGCTTTGTAATTTGGTGAGGCCACAACACTTTGACAGAAAAGGGAGAAAACCCCCAGGATTCAATAGCATTGAGCGATGGATGTTAAAGTCGTGTCAAACTGCATTCCTTCTACAGCATGCCTGGGCAAACTTCGGCCCTCCAGGTGTTTTGGACTTCAGCTCCCACAATTCGGGAGCTGAAGTCCAAAACACCTGGAGGGCCGAAGTTTCCCCAGGCCTGTACTATAGTGTAGTTCGATTTCTCAATTCCATTCCCCTCCCAGAAAAGGCCGAACCCGCCCGCTTAAGCTTTCGCAAGAGCTCCCTCCTACAACTCCCTTGAATATAGGCCTCCAGCCTGCTTTCTACCCAATTCCCACCCTTCCTTGGGAACTCTTTCCCCCGCCATGACACCCACCTGCCTACTGGCGACCCCTCACTCGCTCACGCCGCGCATTCAACGCCCCGGCTCCAGTTCCGGTTCCGGTTCCTCTTAGTGAGACTTCTCCTAGTAGAGCCATGCCGCCATGCTGCCCGTCACGTGACGGAAGAAGGCCCGTAGCTCGTCACGTGACGAAGGAGGGAGGCTGTAGGCGCGCGCCCCTCAGATTCCCGGCAAGCAGGAGCAGCCTTTCCTGCTGCGCGAGCAACTCTTGTTTTCTGGGAGATTCATAACACGTTTGAGAGGGAATGGTAGTTTCTGATTGAAAAACACCGATCCAGCAGCCCATTCATTCACCCGCTTAGGGCTCATCTGTAGAATTAATGTAGCTTGACCCCGCTTTATTATTATTATTATTATTATTATTATTATTATTATTATTACTAGCTGTACCCGCCACGCTTTGCTGTGGCCAACCTTCCCTCTTTTCCTCCTTCGTTCCCTCCTTCCTTCACTCCCTCTTTCCTTCCTTTCTTCCCATCTTTCCTTCTCTTCTTCCTTCTCTATCTCTTTCCTTCCTTCCCCCTTTTTCTTTCTCTTCTGCTGTCTCTTTTCTTCCTTCCCTCCCTCTTTCTCTACATTCCCCCCTTCCTTCGCTCCCTCTTTCCTTCCTCCCTTTTTTCTTTCCTTTGCTCCTTCCTTTCTTCTCTAACTTTCCTTCCTTCCCCCCTTTTTCTTTCCCTCCCTCTTTCTCTCCTTTCTTCCTTCTCTTCCTCTTTCCTTCCTTCTCTCTTTGCTTCCATGCTTCCTTCTTTCTTTCCCTCCCTCCCTCTTTCTTTTCTCCCCTTCCCTCCCTCTTCCCTTTTTTCTGTATTGTCATTTAGCTTTTGGGGGGTTTTAAGTCCCTTCTGCTGTGTTTTTCAGTGTTTTTTATGAGTGAAGGACATACATTGGGTTGTTAGGTGTCTTGTGTCCAAATTTGGTGTCAATTTCCCCGGTGGTTTTTGAGTTCTGTCAATCCCACAAATGAACATTACATTTTTATTTATATAGATTATTATTATTTTACTGACACAAAAGGAGAGTATGTCACAGCAAACGAGATCTATATGCTGGATTTCGTATTATTATTATTTTACTGACACAATGCACAGTATGTCACAGCAAACGGGATCTATATGCTGGATTTTGTATTATTATTATTTTAGTGACACAAAGCACAGTATGTCACAGCAAATGAGATTTATATGCTCGATTTCGTATTATTATTATTTTACTGACACAAAAGCACAGTATGTCACCAAACGAGATCTATATGCTGGATTTCGTATTATTTTACTGACACAAATATACAGTATGTCACAGCAAACGAGATCTATATGCTGGATATTATTATTATTATTATTACTGACACAAAAACACAGTATGTCACAGCAAATGAGATCTATATGCTGTATTATTATTATTATTATTATTACTGACACAAAAACACAGTATGTCACAGCAAATGAGATCTATATGCTGGATTTTGTACTATTATTATTATTATTGTTATTATTATTATTTTACTGACACAAAAACACTATGTCACAGCAAACGAGATCTATATGCTGGATTTCGTATTATTATTATTATTTTACTGACACAAAAGCATAGTATGTCACAGCAGACGAGATCTATATGCTGGATTTCGTATTATTATTATTATTATTATTATTTCACTGACACAAAAGCACAGTATGTCACAGCAAACGAGATCTATATGCTCGATTTCGTATTATTATTTTACTGACACAAAAGCACAGTATGTCACCAAACGAGATCTATATGCTGGATTTCGTATTATTTTACTGACACAAATATACAGTATGTCACAGCAAACGAGATTTATATGCTGGATTTCGTATTATTATTTTACTGACACAAATATACAGTATGCAACAGCAAACGAGATCTATATGCTGGATTTCGTATTATTATTTTACTGACACAAAAACACTATGTCACAGCAAACGAGATCTATATGCTGGATTTCGTATTATTATTATTATTATTATTATTATTATTATTATTATTATTTTACTGACACAAAAGCATAGTATGTCACAGCAGACGAGATCTATATGCTGGATTTTGTATTATTATTATTATTATTATTATTTCACTGACACAAAAGCACAGTATGTCACAGCAAACGAGATCTATATGCTGGATTTCGTATTATTATTTTACTGACACAAAAGCACAGTATGTCACCAAACGAGATCTATATGCTGGATTTCGTATTATTTTACTGACACAAATATACAGTATGTCACAGCAAACGAGATTTATATGCTGGATTTCGTTGCCAGGGGCAAACCAAGAATGGGCAACCTGGAAGTCCCTGAACAGACTCAGAAGTGGAGTGGGCAGAACAAAAGACAACCTGCCAAAATGGCACTACCTAAAAGAATCCCACACCTTATCTGACTGTGGAGCGGAACAGACAACTCTGCATCTTTATGCTTGTCCACTATGCCCTGCCTCATGTCAAAATATACTTAGCCACCTGCACTCCTTCGGTTTTATACTAATTTATGCAATGCTTTTGATACGAAATAAAAAATCACAAGGTCATTATTCCTCATTTTTAAAAAATCAGGAGAAACAAGTTATCCGAAAACCAAGAGATCCCTTGCCCTGCCTACAGCCCTTTACATTAAAAGAGACTGACACCAGTTTACAACCACTTCTTTCTATGGGATCCTATGGTTCTGCACCAAACCTGGGATCAGAAAATGAATGGCTGCCATTCATTTTCTGATCCCAATTCAAGGTGGAGGTTCTTACCTACAAAGCCCTGAATGGTTTGGGACCCTCCTACCTGCGTGACCGCATCTCTGTGTATGAACCCACACGATCCCTTCGATCATCTGGAGAGGCTCTGCTCACGCTCCCACCTCCATCGCAGGCGCGATTGGTGGGGACGAGGGAGAGGGCCTTCTCGGTGGTGGCCCCTCGACTCTGGAACTCACTCCCCAAGGACATCAGGCATGCCCCAACCCTGGCAGTCTTTAGGAGGTGTCTGAAAATGTGGTTGTTCCAGTGTGCCTTCCCAGAATAAGAAAACTCCCAGCAATATGTCCTCAAAATGCACTTTACTATTGATCTAGGAATGTCTGCACGCCCCATCCCTCTCTGAAAACTCTATCCTAGTTCATATTTCTTCTGTTCATGCTCAGCATTATTTTTAAATTTTAATTATTACATTTGGCCCAGCCATAGATTTTAAACGTTGTTGTGTTACTGCTATTGTTTCTTGTTTATCTTTTGTTATGAGTTTTATTTTATTGTCTGTATTAATTGTTATTGCTTTTATCACTGATGCATTGTGGGTTCGGCCTCAAGTAAGCCGCACCGAGTCCCTCGGGAGATGGTAGCGGGGCATAAATAAAGTTTATTATTATTTTATTATTCTCAGAAACACCATTTGATCTCCCCTCCTATTTTTTCCCTTTTAAACAGATTTTAGCCTTAACATAGTGTTCCTTAAGATATGGTCAATTCATTGTACTTTTCTGAGTAAATCAATGGTAACATGAATGGAAAATGGAATACTGGTGGTACATATTGAAATAAAAAGTCTAAATCAACTGTTTATCTGATTGGGCTGATACTAATCCATAGCTTAAAGCAACGGCAAATCCCATAAAGCTAAATCAGCAAATTATAAGACAGGCTAGATCTACACTGCTTTTAGGATGGGATATAAATGCCCCAATAAATAAATAAAACCCAATGAATTGTAGACAAGATAAGATTACCAATATGTACACAGGGTGTCCCCATAAAAGTATACATACTTTAAAAGCTGATAGCTCAATTGATGGTTTCCCTTCCTCATCCCCCAGGTTAAGCTCCTTGGGATTAATAATGGAGGTCAGACTAAGCTTTAAACAAAGGAAATTCATTTTAAAATTCTATTGAAAGTGTGAAGACATAGTTGAAGTGCAAAGACAGTTTAGTATGGAGTTTCAAAGACATCCATTAGTAGACTTAGAGATTTGATTTAATCCAATGAAACTGGGTTGCTGTGAGTTTTCCGGGCTAAATTGCCATGTTCCAGAAGGATTCCCCCATGGAAGAAACAGTCAGACCTTGAAGCTGCAAGACTATTCAATGTTAATCAAGGTTGTCAATTTCAATATTTACACTTGCCTCAAACAGACAAGATTTCTCGCACTCTGGGCACTCCATAATAAACCTTCCTTTATACCCCGCTACCATCTCCCGAAGGACTCGATGCGGCTTACATTCCATAGATATATAAACCCCACTTGCCTAGTTTCCAATAGACCTCACAACCTCTGAGGATGCCTGCCATAAATGTGGGTGAAACGTCAGGAGAGAATGCTTCTGGAACACGGCCATACAGCCTGGAAAACTCACAGCAACCCAGTGATTCCAGCCATGAAAGCCTTTGACATTCCAATGAAACTGTTCAGAATGGCACACTTTCTAACAAAGTTGGTTATTACTACCAAATAATAACAGGAAGCTCCAAGTAGGAAAGAATTCTGCCTGAAACCCTAGACAATTGCTACCAGTTAAAGTTGGTTAGATGAGTTAGTGTACACACTGTCTCTTTCCATGAATCAGAGCACAAGAAACATGGATTTAAAATTTTAACTTCCATTTTTGTCCACTAGGTGGCAGAAAATACACATTCAAGTTTGCTAGGTCAACTTGTTTAGTGTTTTGTCAATATGAGGTGAAAAGTGTACTGGGACAGAGACTATATAACTGTCTTGGCCTTGGCTGTTCAATTGTTGTACTTATGAACTGGTATTGATCTTAAGCATGTGTAACACATATCTAGCTATTTCTTCTCAGAATCAATACGGGAATGCATGCTGGCGTACTCCATTAGTTTCCCCCTTTCTGTCTTGTTCTTGACTGCAGAAAATTCAGTACACTGTAGTAATCATTTAGGAAGTTAAGCAATTGTATTTCTAATTATTTAGCTGCTTAATAGCCTGAAATGCAAATATGAAAAGAAAAACAAAGTGGCAAACCCAATGTTTACCTGTTGTTCTGAAGTCATGCTACCCGTCTATTCTGCTTTGGTCAGACTACACCTGGAATACTGTGTCCAATTCTGGGCACCACAATTGAAGGGACATGTTG